GAAGACCAAAGCAGGAGGCATCACAATCCCAGACTTTAGCCTCTACTACAAAGCTGTCATCATCAAGACAGCATGGTATTGGCACAAAAACAGACACATAGACCAATGGAATAGAATAGAAACCCCAGAACTAGACCCACAAACGTATGGCCAACTCATCTTTGACAAAGCAGGAAAGAACATCCAATGGAAAAAAGACAGTCTCTTTAACAAATGGTGCTGGGAGAACTGGACAGCAACATGCAGAAGGTTGAAACTAGACCACTTTCTCACACCATTCACAAAAATAAACTCAAAATGGATAAAGGACCTGAATGTGAGACAGGAAACCATCAAAACCTTAGAGGAGAAAGCAGGAAAAGACCTCTCTGACCTCAGCCGTAGCAATCTCTTACTCGACACATCCCCAAAGGCAAGGGAATTAAAAGCAAAAGTGAATTACTGGGACCTTATGAAGATAAAAAGCTTCTGCCCAGCAAAGGAAACAACCAACAAAACTAAAAGGCAACCAACGGAATGGGAAAAGATATTTGCAAATGACATATCGGACAAAGGGCTAGTATCCAAAATCTATAAAGAGCTCACCAAACTCCACACCCGAAAAGCAAATAACCCAGTGAAGAAATGGGCAGAAAACATGAATAGACACTTCTCCAAAGAAGACATCCGGATGGCCAACAGGCACATGAAAAGATGTTCAGTGTCGCTCCTTATCAGGGAAATACAAATCAAAACCACACTCAGGTATCACCTCATGCCAGTCAGAGTGGCCAAAATGAACAAATCAGGAGACTATAGATGCTGGAGAGGATGTGGAGAAACGGGAACCCTCTTGCACTGTTGGTGGGAATGCAAATTGGTGCAGCCGCTCTGGAAAGCAGTGTGGAGGTTCCTCAGAAAATTAAAAATAGACCTACCCTATGACCCAGCAATAGCACTGCTAGGAATTTATCCAAGGGACACAGGAGTACTGATGCATAGGGGCACTTGTACCCCAATGTTCATAGCAGCACTCTCAACAATAGCCAAATTATGGAAAGAGCCTAAATGTCCATCAACTGATGAATGGATAAAGAAATTGTGGTTTATATACACTATGGAATACTACGTGGCAATGAGAAAAAATGAAATATGGCCTTTTGTAGCAACGTGGATGGAACTGGAGAGTGTGATGCTAAGTGAAATAAGCCATACAGAGAAAGACAGATACCATATGGTTTCACTCTTATGTGGATCCTGAGAAACTTAACAGGAACCCATGGGGGAGGGGAAGGAAAAGAAAAAAAAAAAGAGGTTAGAGTGGGAGAGAGCCAAAGCATAAGAGACTGTTGAGAACTGAGAGCAAACTGAGGGTTGATGGGGGGTGGGAGGGAGGAGAGGGTGGGTGATGGGTATTGAGGAGGGCACCTTTTGGGATGAGCACTGGGTGTTGTATGGAAACCAATTTGACAATAAATTTCATATATAAATAAAAAATAAATAAATAAATAAATAAAAATAAAAAAATAAAGGAAGTGATGGTAACCGGGAGGTGGACAAACAGAGCTTCCAACAGAAAAAAAGAGAAGCAAGAAAAGAGAGGTCAAAGAGTAACAAGGTGAACTAAGGCCAGCGCCTCAATGTACTTCTCTTCGCTATCTCGGATCTTGTCACGTCTTTTATGGCTGCATGATACCTTTCAAGAGCTGTGACAGTGTAACCGTCAGACACCCAGGCTGCCCCTCCGCTTTCATAAAAATGCTACAACGAGAAGCTGAAGACTATTCCAGGGTTAACGAAAAACCTTGTACTTCATTCTTTCCTAGGGATGGAGACCCAGGGCAGCTCCACCAAGGGAAGGGTCATCAGTTGTCGTGCGAGGCCGCTCTGCTGTCCGACCAGCCCCCACACTGACTCCAGAGCCACCTGCCAGCGTGGCCTGGGGTCCACCAGCACTGCTGTCACCCTCCCTGCCCTTCTGTCCCCGCCCTCCCACCGGCTTTGTGACCAACTATCCTCTTTTGTGAGGTGTCCGTCCAAAAACACAGCTTTTAATTAACTCACTTCCAACTTACTCCAGCTATTTTCATTTCTGCAATACTCCAGTATTCCAAGTAATAGTTCTAGAAGCAAACAAATTTAGAAGGCAACTGTTGCTTCCCTTAGTTTCACACTTCTTCATACACATGGTCCTAACTGCTACAAGTCTTTTACATACTTTCATTTTACACAAAGATTCAATCCCTGAGATAGTTCAGCCTCTAACGGTTTTGGACCTTTTTGGAGGGACCCCCACATGTTAAATTTCAAACATATCATTTCTCAGACCTTTTCTGGAATTAGCTACATGAAAGCTAATTTTACTCATTCATTGAATTTGCATTTTCTAGTATTTTTTATCTTTTAGAATTTATATTCCAAAAATAAAAAGAATATTCTGTTCTAAAATACTTAACTTGATAGTCCAATCATGAACAAACACAAAGTAAATAAATTAAAACCACATGATGTTTAAATTGGGGGCGATAACACAGCTTGGTGAGGCCCTTACCTTTCTCAGCCTTTCTGGAGAGAACTCTAGGCCAACAAGAAACAGAGTAAAGAACACGCCAACCTCTCCTAAGGTCTCCACCTGCACAACAGACTGGGAACAAAATTTTAAAACCACACAATTTAATGTATCTAACAAATGAAGCATACTTCAAGGAACAATCTTGTACTAACGTACTCAGTGGAACTATCCTAAAAAAACAAAAAACAAAAAACACAGTATTTTTTTTAAAACTAGTTCTCTGAATGTCCTCTATCCCTGACATAGCTTGAACTTCCTGATTATACGTTTTTTTTTTTTTTTCCTTTTTCTTGATTAGCTGAAGGACTGTTTTTATCTCTTTTTCTGAGAACTAGCTCGCGAATTCACCTGTTTCCAGGCTGCGCTCTTCATTACCTCCTTCCTTCACTTTCTCTGGAGGATGGGGAGGCACTGAACCTGAGCTGGACATTTTAATCAAGATGCCCCACTTTCCTTTGGCCTGCCAGCACGGGCCTGTGCATGACTATGTGTACAAACTTCTTTCCTGAGAACCGAATTGGCCACATCCCACAGGTTCTGGTATACAGCATTCTTGTGCGCTGTGTTGGTTCTGGTCCTTTGTCTGCTGTTTGTTTTTATGCTTTTATGTTATGGCAGAGAATGCTGTTTACACGGTTATATTTGGTACTCCCTAGATCATCTACACTCATGGTTTCCACTGAGCCACAAACTCAGCGTCTGAAAGAAGAGAGCAAGCAGATCTCCACATGTCCAGGCACCAAGCTGCTGTGCAGGGACGCACACGCACCGTCAGCCACCGAGAGGACAGGCCCTGCCCTCCATTTGCTGGCATCTGCCTCCTCACTTACTCATTCTGTTCTCTTTGAACCTTGCTTACTGTACATCTTTTTCCTAACATCATCTGCAAACCTGTGTCTTTCCACAGGCAAGTTTATTCCACTTATATTCATTGTGATAACAGAAGATTTCTCTTACTCCTTCGTCTCCTGGTTTTTATACTTCCTCACTGCTTTTATTTTTCTTCCCTTTTTAAAATGAGGCTGAAACTCATGACTTGAAAGTCACATACCTAAATCTGCACTTCTCAACGTAACACAGAAGCCTATTAACTTCCTACTAGGAAAAGGTAAATATTTTGGTACAGCCACACTTCCTCCATAACCACCTCCCGTTTTGGCTAATATGCTCTTGGGTCTTCATCCTGGTTTACTGTAATTATGTTATTTACCAAGATACAGCAAATTTGTTAGGAACTATAATATTGGTAGCCTCCAGTTGTATTTATTACCTTACTCAGCCTCTATTATTATTCAGCCTGAATTCTTGGCTTATAAGCAACCTTTGCTCTGAAGAAAAAAGGAAAATACGTTTGTATTTGCTATTGTTCATAAATACTCTGGAAAGGGAGGGATGGGACAGGACAAGACAGAGATTCTCCACCTACAACTTAAAATTTTTTGTACTTACACCATTTTGTTCTCAACTGTATGGAGATTACAAATTCAGAAAATTGAATTAAAACAGTGTTTCCCAGAGACCACCCCACCAGGTTGAGCCCAGCCCACAAGAGCACCCCCCACCCCATGTCAGTCAGTGGTCACCTGCTCACTAAGGTCCTGGGCTTTCAGCCGGTAGCCCCTGCCAGTTGAACGTGTTGTTCAGTTCAGTTAGAGATGATGATGTTTCCTGCCCGGTACAAGGTGTGCCCATCAGCAGGAGGGTGAGGCTGCAAGCACATGCCCACACCTCCCCCCATCCGTCTGCTCCTGTCGTACCCAACTAGGAAGTGCCAGGACTCCCGTGTGTGTTTCCCAGTACCTGCACCACTGCTTCTGTGTTGGATATATGACACATCACCTATTCTTGCCAATCTCTTCATTTCGTCTGAATTGTGCGTATTTACAGGACACATCTTGGAGCCCACAAAAGCTTTGGAACTGTTCCTCACTGCCAACAAGTGCCATCAATATAGGATGAAAGTCACTTCACTCTGTTCAGCCAACAGCCTCAGCACTCACTACGTCCTGGGGTTTTCACATTATCCTACATTTAGGCTTGAAAATCCCCACTACTTTACTAGCTTTGCAATGTTTTAAAAAATTTTAAATTATACACTTAACCCAGCATTTTTTGTTGCTTTCAGTGTCTGAATAACATAATCCATCATTATTACTGGAAACAGAATTTTTAAAACTAACAGTTTAAAGACATGAACAGAGTGGGGGGTTGTCGCACCCTGGGTGGCTCAGTCGGTTAAGCGGCCAGCTTCCCCTCAGGTCATGATCTCGCAGTTCACAAGTTTAATCCCCGTGTCAGGATCTGTGCTGACAGCTCGGAGCCTGGAGCCTGCTTCAGATTCTGTGTCTCCCTCTCTCTCTGCCCCTCCCCTGCTCATGCTCTCTGTCTCTCTCAAAAAAATAAACATTTAAAAAACTTTTTTTTAATTAAAAAAATAAAGACACAAACGGGATTTCTTCTCTAGTTAAGTCATCCATTCACTAACAAAATTACTTTCTTATGATTTAGGAATTTCTTATGAAACTCTAAAGAGCATCTTCTTTAATATGGTTTATAAGGAAATGCTATCTTTATTAATTCAAGTTCAAAACTTTTAGGTCTTCATGAGCATTTCTTTAGTATTTTGTTAAACAGATACTAAAACAGTTGCTCTTACCTTAATACTGTTCAGTCCTGAAGGCCCCAGAAGTACGCCACAAACAATATAACCAAACATTGTGGGCAACCCTATCGTCGTGCACAGCCAGCCACAAGGTAAAGACAGCATTCCTATGGTAACAATGTCCTAATGGAGAATAAACCAGAAATAAACACAAAAATTTAAGGTAACAGTTGGCAAGAAAAGGGTTGATTACTGGAGAAAGCAGACGTTCTGCAGACTAGGCCCCTCCCAGTTTCCACTTTGGTGGTAAAAAAGGAAGGCTATCCCTGGGCTGATCTTCCTGCTTTGAGTTTATTGGTACAGTAATCAGCCACTGGGAGCATCCTTCCTCTCGGCCTGCGCTGCCCCCCTCTTTAAGACCAGCACAAGCTGTGGCTTCGGGAATGCTGCTGGAGCCCCGACAGGGTGTCCAGACCCCACTAGCCTTCCGAGCAGGCCACACTGGCCACTCCTACAGCTGTTACCCATTCTGGTCCAAACCCAAACAGTGATCTCCAAACAGAACACAGTCCATTGCGAATCTTTACATAACTCCACATCCTCTTATTAGACTTGCTGCCTCAGAGGGAGCAGATGCGTGGCTAACTCGGTGTGGAATGTCAGTCACCTCTGGAGGAGCCGGATCTCATCCTGTACCCGTGTCTACACAGATGATACCTTAGCCAAAGCTCCTCCACCTCATCAGATGTTCCGTGTTAGTGACAAAGTTTGAGCCCACTGTAGGGACTCCTGACTTCAAAAAGGCTTCCAAATTCTCAAAAGCAACGTTAATTTTCATTCTAAGTATTAAAATGCCTCGTTCTATTCGGAAAAAATTAAAAATTAAGAGAAAGTGTTTCAAGTCATGGAAAATATAGGAAATTCTAGTAGAATCTCTCTGTTAGGAGGAAGGTCATGCATCCTAATATGAGGCTCAGAAAATAAAGCTTACTTTACATTAGTACCTGGAAGTGGGAAGGTGGGAGAGGGGACTTCAAGAGGGGAGCAAGCAGACAGACTACCTTTAGGAAGTGGCGATCTGCACGTGGAATTGTCGCGTCTCTGGGCTTGGTCAAGATATAGCGGTTGTTCTGGGAGTCGATCAGCATGCTAAGACCCAAATCATCCTCCGCTTCCCGCTTTGTGAGGTTTTGTTTGGAATTGGCGTCTTCTTCCTCCACTCTGAGAACTGCCTCAAAATTGACCCCTTTCACCTGTAAAAATAACCAACATCATGTAATTAAACCCATGAAATGTTTTCAAGTACAATTTTTAGAGCGTAAATTCTGTACAGAAGAGCGATAGAAGTATTTCTAGCACTCTGTCAGGTATGACGAAAGGTCCACAGATGTTCATTAGCACAAATCAGGAAAGCTGCTTCAGTTACAAGGGCCATCTGAGAATGAAGGCGTTTAGGATTTCTATTACGTCCAGACACGCACTTTAATGATTTAGGGTACGATCTGTAACAAGAAACATACGTTTGGTCTTCACCCCCCTTCCTGGCCCGCAGCCCCACAACCAGCGTGGCCTCCCCAAGCATAAGGAGCAACGGGTACACCCGACAAGCCCTTCGCGGCCTCTCCTGAGTTTGTGCCAGCAAGGTGACGTTCAGAAAGCCACTAGATGACTGCAGGATGAGGCTGCTCACCAGGAACAGCAGCCACGTGACCTTGGGGCAGGGAGGGGCCGGAGGTGAAGCTAATCGCGAGCCTGCACAAGGCAGCTCCGGGACATGCTTGGAGCACGGGGTTCGGGGAGCTTCCGGGTGCCCGACACACGGATGCACCCTGCCAGGAGGGCAGCGGGCCCGGACAGGACGCAGTGCCCTGCGCACATGCTTTCACCTCTTCTACCCGGCTGTTTCTGACTGCACCCTTTGCAGCGACCTGGTAACCTGGCAAACAGATGGTCTTTCTGGGTTCTGAGAGCCTGAGGAGGGGTCGTGGGACCCTCCGAGGTGAAAACCCAGAGCCCATTATCAGTGCCTGGAGCAGAGGGTGCAGTGCTGGGCCAAGCCCTCGCCCGTGGGACCCACGGGGATCCTGAGCCAACAGCGGTGGAGCTGCACTGGAAAAGCTGCGGCGGCGACAGCCTGACGCCCTGACCCACGAGCACTCGGTAAGCAGTGAAGAAAGAGCACCACCTTCAAAAGACAGCCCCGTGTCCTCCCCTGGCACCACGGACACGCTCAGGACAGCCTCTCTCAGTGCTCATCCGCCCCGAACTGCACTCGCCTTTGCTCTAATTGCCGCATCCTTTTCTGAGTCCTCAGGACTCACGGTCCGTTTTCGGCACTTATCTCGTCCTTCCCAGAGAATCTAAACACGTCACAGCAAGTGGGGAGTCCGAATGCCTGCCTCAGACACGATTCATCTCAGGAGCATATGGCTCCCCCGGGCAGAACAGCACCGACACCTGACTATCCCAGGGCACGCTTTCTGGAGCCCAGAGTCTCAATCCACCTGAACACGGAAGTGGGGCACAGACATGAGCCCCTGGGGGGCACTGACAAAAACATAAGGCAAAACGACAGGTGTATAGTGTACTTCTGTGTAACCAAACCAAATCGTTCTCTGGGATACGAAAGTGTTTGGTTTTATCTCCATCGTCAGTCCACACGGAAAACAGCCGATAAATTCCACCATACTTTCTCTCAGCAAGCAGCCCGAGCAAAGAGGAGATTGTTCTGGAATGCTACTTACTGATTTATTGTCATCAAAAGCATGTTCTTCCATCTCTTCCTCTAGGCGATCGGCTGCCTTTCTCACATCTTCAAGAATTTCATCAAGCATGGATAAACTTTTGTTTTGATGTTGCATATTTTTGAGGGCTTCAACTTGGTGTTTTTCTGCTGCCAGAAGTTCCACATATTCTGTCTCTTCCTGTTTATTGGTGAGAAATGAAGTGTGGGGTTTATTAAGAAATAGGCCACACCAGGACTTCATTCAGGTGCCTGGCCTGGCTGGACCATGCAAACCAACATGCTCTTGCTGTCAAATACATTTATAAACGTGTAATGCTAGCTCCAGTCAAGGAGAGAAGGTCAGGTGTCCTGTATGGAGCTTAGCAAAATGCTCAGGGAAGCCTATTTGTACGCATGCGTCATCAAACGTAATCTACTACTGTTGATAAATTCTGAAGGTCAACTATTCATACACAATCCTCACTGAACAGATTTTATTCCAGACATCATGCCTACTGTGTATGGAGGTCCAGCTGTACTCTAAAAACACCTGTGATACTTGATTCTTGAGCTAAAAATTTCTAAGTAGGATACACACAAATTCCAAGTTACAGAGGAAAAACTGTTCCAGAAGAATCTGACCGCATTACTTGGAAAACTGATGGATGGTGTCAATAATACCACTGCGTTTTATACCATCATATTTAAACTCAAGCTATCAATCAAATCAACATCCTTACTATTAAAGTATATGTTCATACTTTAAAGGGGTGGGGCATAGCTAGAACAGAGAAGCAGCAAGACAGTCCCAAGGAGAAGTGTAACTGTTTGACAGACCTCTCTCTAGGCAACACCACCCAACCCCTCTCTCATAGCTGTGACCTCCCAGAACCTAGCCTGAGATGTGAGGCAAAAACTGCATGTAGAAAGCATACATATTTGGATCAACATCACTCAATGCATGTTAGTTCTCTATTTTATTGTAAAACTACCTCAAATCAATACCACTATTCTTTAAAACAAAGGAGTTTAGGGACGCCTGGGTGGCTCAGTCGGTTAAGCATCCGACTTTGGCTCAGGTCCTGATCTCATGGTTCATGAGCTAGAGCCCCGTGTCGGGCTCTGTGCTGACAGCTCGGAGCCTGGAGCCTGCTTCAGATTCTGTCTCCTTCTCTCTCTGCCCTCCCCTGCTTGTGTTCTGTCTCTGTCTCTAAAAATAAACATTAAAAAAAATATATATAAATAATATCACATCTAGTATAGTAATAGTTTTATCTCATTTTAAAAGTGTATTTCGGGGCGCCTGGGTGGCGCAGTCGGTTGAGCGTCCGACTTCAACCAGGTCACGATCTCACGGTCCATGAGTTCGAGCCCCGCGTCGGGCTCTGGGCTGATGGCTCAGAGCCTGGAGCCTGTTTCCGATTCTGTGTCTCCCTCTCTCTCTGCCCCTCGCCCGTTCATGCTCTGTCTCTCTCTGTCCCAAAAATAAATAAACGTTGAAAAAAAAAATTTTTTTTTTAAATAAATAAAAGTGTATTTCATCACGATCCTTATTTCAAAAGTATATATTAAAACTAATTTTAGTATTTTTGTTTTCAGTAGATGGACATTAAAGACAGCCAACCTTCACACCAAAAGGCATTCTTGTCAGAAACTCAAAATGTTGACTGCAGTTACAAGTATATTTACCACATACTTCATACACATCAGCTTATTGGGATAACTTGAGTAACTAGTATAATTACCTTGTGATCTCAACACAGAAAAGCATTGGCACTCCCAGAAGTGGTGAAATGCAACTGTGCTAAGATACGGTGCACAAGGAGGGGAAATCCACGTGTGCACTGCTGAGAATGGATGCCCCTGCCAGACTACACCTGCTGAAGCATCAGCACCAGCTGCCTTCTCCCTTGACCTCTACTTGACCTGCTCCTTGGCTCAGGGTGGGACAGGACTGACCTTAATCGCAGCCTCTCTCAGTGCCTCCAGGCGCTGCCTGCTGCTCTCCTTCATGTTCACAACATCTCTGTAATCTCCTTGCAGGGCTCTCTGCAGTCCATAGATGGCCTGGAACACTGAATTTTCACTTTCATTCAGCTCTTTTTGGAAAATTTCAAACGTATGCACCTGAAACAGCTTCTCTTCATCTGACAGGCTAACGTCTTTTTCCACGGCTCTGATTGCACTTTTCAGTTTGTTAAGAACCACAGTCTTTTGGCGAAGAAGCCCGGAGAGCTTCCTGCAACCATCGAGGACCCACTGCTTCCTCTGAGTGATGGCCGCCCCTTTCCCTCGGTGCAATTTGATGGCATGTTTTGCCACCTCTTCATGTTCCGCAGCATCTGCCATCAAGCGAAGCAGTGGAAGCAACACCCAGAAGTAATTTCTTCCCAGCACCTTCATGATCCAGTTTTAGAGGGCAGGGCAAGGCCGTCCTAAGGTTCCTGCTCAGCTGAGCTTGCATTTTAGATACACATCTTCAGCTGAAAAGAGATTTATTGCTACATATAGTTGAACAATGATTCGTTACTATTGAGATCAGAGTTAAAGTATTAAATAATTACATCCAAAAAACTATCACTTTTTTGAAGATGTTATTTTTCCTAGATAAATATTTTAAAAAAAAAATTTTTTTTTCAACGTTTATTTATTTTTGGGACAGAAAGAGACAGAGCATGAACGGGGGAGGGCAGAGAGAGAGGGACACACAGAATCGGAAACAGGCTCCAGGCTCTGAGCCATCAGCCCAGAGCCTGACGCGGGGCTCGAACTCACGGACCGTGAGATCGTGACCTGGCTGAAGTCGGACGCTTAACCGACTGCGCCACCCAGGCGCCCCAATCCTAGATAAATATTAATACCTGAACTATTCATCACACCTGGATTAAAATCGAATACTAAATGTTAAAGTATAAGGCCTGAGACTAAAGGTTACATTGAAATTAAAGGCAATTTTTTTAAAGAAAAATCAGCTTCGTTTATCTATTAAATCTACCATGTGCCAAAGACAAAAACCAATTCTACTTAAGGAGATCCATGTATTGGGGCACCTGGGTGGCTAGTCGGTTAAGCAACCAACTCTTGAATTTGGCTCAGGTCATGATCCCAGAGTCAAGAGATCGAGCCCTGCAATGGACTCCATGCTGAGTGTGGAGCCTGCTTAAGACTCTCTCTGCTCCTCTCCCCTGCTCATGCTCTCTTTCTTAACAAAAAAAAAAAAAAAAAAAAAAAAAAGAGGATCCAAGTATTTAAGGCCAGAAAACACCATCAACTCCCCTATCACAGATCAGTGAACTGCCTGGAGGAAACATGCTCCACGTCATTTCTGAAATAAAACTGTCTGAGCTGCTACTAGCTTACTGTACTGTTTTCTTTCCAAAATCATTTGGAATTCTGCCAAATTTCCAAAGTCACAGTTTAATGCTAACCAGATGTCAAACACAGAAAAAGAAAATCACAAAACACAATCATGTCTGGATCACTAGGGTTTTACTAAATGTTCAAGCACTTTCTATCTCCCAAATTCAGCCTCCTTCTCTTCCTCTCTTCAGGAAGAGCCCAAGCACCTGTATGACTACCCCAGCAAGTGAAGCACACACAGGACCCTGGCCGTGATGAGGTGAAGGCTTTGGTGCAGGCAGCAGGGGGTGCTGCGGCTGCGGTGCCCAGATCACACTCGAAGAACAGGACTGCATCTTCCAGTGGACAGAGTCATCAAGGAGCAGGTACAAGCTGCTACAGGTGTTAGCAAGGTCACAACGAAGCAATGACTCCAAAGGTAGGAAATACAGAGCAAAGAAGGAAGAGGTAATAAAACACAAGACAGGCAAGAGAGACACACCCTAAAAGCACCACTGAACCTGGCAACTAGATCTCTGGGCACCAGTAGTTACGTCAAAAAAGAAAAAACACGGGGTGGCTCAGTCAGTTAAGCATCTGACACTTGATTTCAGCTCAGGCCATTATCTCACGGTCCATGGGTTTGAGCCACTGAGCTGGGCTCTGCGCTGACAGTGCTGAGCCTGCTTGGGATTCTCTCCACCCCTCCCCCACATGCTCTCCTGTGTGCTCTCTTTCTCCAAAATAAACATTTAAGAAAAAAACCAAACCTACCATTTACACAAGACTTACAGTTTAAAGAAAACAAAATATCAGGGGTGCCTGGGTGGCTCAGTCAGTTGAGCGTCCAACTTGGGCTCAGGTCACGATCTCAGTTTGTGGGTTCAAGTCCCGTGTCGGGCTCTTTGCTGACAGCTCAGAGCCTGGGGCCTGCTTCGGATTCTGTGTCTCCCTCTCCTTCTGCCCCTTCCCTGCTTGTACTCTCTTTCTCTCAGACATAAACATTAAAAAAATTAAATAAAACAAAATATTAATATAAACTAATCATTAAAGTGTTTACTAAAACAAGTATCTATACCTCAGTTTTACTAGTAATCCCAATTCTAACAAGTTTATTCTGGTTTCCCAGGCAAAGCAGATCAGATGCAGAAAAAATGAGAGTGTGGCTTATCTAGGCAGAAAATTCCAAACCAAAAATGACAGCCAATAGAAAGTGGAGATAAAACAGAGCTTCTGAAAAACCAGCACAAGAACCTGGCAAAGACTAGCAGCCCAGGGAGTCTGGTGAGGACTGAACTACACCTTTCCGTAGACACCAAAAATACCACTATTGGAGGACAGCAGGGAAACCTACCCATCAAAAGTCACCAAGAAAAAACTACATTCTACCTCAATATTCTGGTTACAAAGTCAGGAAACTGTTCAATTTCAATACATTTTTCGATACATCAGTTTGTAACTCACAGAGAATTTATTTACCTACAATGTTTCACTTTTTCCCCTAACTTGTTAGGATAAGTGACAATGTGCTGTCTAAATTACCCAACTTTATATTACAATTTTTTTTAATGTTTATTTAGAGCGTGAGAGTGCACGCGCGCATGCGCATGAGGTGGGGAGGGGGAGGGGCAGAGAGAGAGGGAGGGAGACAATCCCAAGCAGGGTACTCCCAGTCAGTGCAGAGGCCAGTGCAGAGGCGGGGACTTAATACCACAAATCTCAAGGTCATGACCTGAGTCGAAATCAAGAGTCTGATGGATGCTCCGCCCAAGTGCCCCTTTGTTACAGCTTTAATACAACTTAAGTAAGCGTTACCACCTTAAAAATAAATAAATGATTACCCAATCTCAGTAGTGCCTAGCAAGATAGTTAATCTGTTATTTTAATAACTCATTTCACTGCTGAACTTCTATTGTTCCAGGGGAGAGAAAGAATTCAATGTTGATAAATACATGCTTTTCTAGTATTTTCAGAACCAAGACAGACATTTCTGATGCTTTGCTAATGTTTCCCATTTTCCCTAAAAGATCTCAAAAAATGATTCTTTTATGGATTTCAAACTTCAGACAAATAACCTGCCACACAGTCTGTGTGTGAACAACAAACACCCCTTCATTCATTTCTGGTTCCTTCCTCAAACAAATTCTTGAAATTAAATAGTTATAACTCTACCCTATGACACATAAAGGACTATTAATTTTTACAAGAAATTATTGAGAACTTTAATTGTGGTCATACTAATATTTCCACTCAAATAAGCTCAAGTCATGGACATGTGGACATGACACTGAAATTATTTACAGACTCTGAAAACATCAATCACTTTTTCATAAATTCATTTCATCTTACCTTTAAACTTGGCTACCAAATCCTGTAAACTACTAAATTATAGCATGCTTTTTCTTAGTAAATAATAAACTTTTTTAGCTCTAGTGCTATTTTGTTATTATTGTTTTTAATTATAAAAATGACACTTTTGATTTATTATATTTTTACAACAAATTCCTAGAATTTCTATACCTTGAGTCACTGATACAACCTGGGTGGACCTCAAGGCTGCAAGGAGGGCTGATCCCACACACCCTACAATTCCACTTACAGCACTGTTCAGGGACTAACTGTAGAGATGGAGTGGCTGTCAGGGAAGAGGGAGGAGGGACCCCGTGGGATAGAAATGGTCTGTGTCTTGATGGCGCTGGTGGCCACAGGAATCAACACGTGACAGAAATGGCAGATTGTAAAACATGCCATGTGAGTAAGGTGAGTGGGTCAAATAGATGCAATCTTCTGCTTAGACTCTATTTTTAATCAGGAGCTACCACTGGGGAAATCTGGGTGAAGGATCTATAGGATTTCTCTGTATTATTTCTTATAACGGTATATGAATCTATAAGCATCTCAAAATACAGTTTTAAAAATTCAACACAAATGCTTACTGTTTTCCACTAACCTGACACTTCTTCTATTTAAACTAGGAAATGCCCTCAACCAGAGCCGAAGGTCTTCAAGATGTCTCTGCTACATGAAAACCCAATGTCACTTTTCATTTAGAGCAACGACAAAATCAGTACTTGGAATACAACTAGTCCCCAAAGTTTCTACTTACACATATTTCAACATTACTTAAAATATGTCATGGGGCACCTGGGTGGCTCAGTCGGTTGAATGTCCGACTTTGGCTCAGGCCATGATCTCCGGGTTCGTGAGTGTGAGCCCCATATCAGGCTCTGTGCTGACAGCCCAGAGCCCGCTTCAGGTCCTCTGTCTCCTTCTCTCTCTGCCCCTCTGCCCCTGCAACAATGAACACTTACACAAAGAAATAAAATATATCTCCACAGCTTTGCCCAATTTTTTTCTTTTTCTTTCTTTCTTTTTTTTTTTTTTTTTTAGAGAGAACGTGAACAGGGACTGCAGAGGGAGAGAGAATCTTAAGCAGGTTTCATTCCCAGTGCCCAACACAAGGGCTCAATTCATGAACTGAGCCAAAATCAAGAGTCGGAAGCTTAATCAACTGAGCCACCCAGGCGCCCCAAAAAATTTCCAATGCTTTTAACTCGTCATATTATATAGAAATCACATACTTTTACTCTATTAAAAGTGCTTAGTAATTCATAAGTGTCACATGTCATTTAGTGGATAAAAACTCATGAGCAAAGCACAATAACACAGTCTAAGACTGGCCTTTCTCAGAGCTAAGGCACCCAAGTAAAGCTCTCTCCCACAGGCCTCTATCTCTGAGTGCTCTGAGCACCACAGGGTATGCAAAGGGACTGTCTCCTTAGACATCTGCTATCAGGACCCACAGAACCCTAGAGCACTGGGGTCGCTGAAGTCCCTGCAGGGAGCTCAGCGGAGAGGAGGAAAAGCAGAGGGAGGGGCGACTCCTCTACTTTGCCCAATTTTCTACAATGGCCACAATTTGAAAATCTCCTGGCTCTGCCTCCCAGCCTTCTCCTCACATGCAGCCACGGGGTCCCCCATGCCCTCTCTTCCTCTGGACCTTCCAGACCCAGTGTCTCCAATTTTCTCAATCAAACTGCTGAGAAAGAATCAAGTTTATTCAACACACCAGGACAGCAGCCACTGTCTGTGGGGCAGAGGCCAGCCCAGCCAGGCTCCAACCCAGCTCTTTGGAAGGACCCCCACCCCCATGCACTCAGTGAACCGGGGCCACTCCATATGCGGTACTGACCTGGTACCCAATGCAGTGCCTGGCGCTGTGTGCGGAAGATTCCAAGCAAGCAGCAGGGGTGTGGCAGGAGCAATGTTAACCAGCCCAAACTGGTTATTTACCTTGGTTCTGAAAAAGAAAAATATAAGGGTGAGTTGTAGGAAATGGCATCAAGTTAGAATTTCTTTGTGATACCAGCAACACTTCCAGATTCAGTACAACACAGGAAATGAACAGGAAACAAAAGAGGTGCTCATGGAAAGGTCTTAGGAAGCAAACTCCCCAATGGAAATAACCTACTTCAATCTAATTTGTGAAGAATTTAACTTAAAACTCATATTTTATTTTTTAAATAACGTCTTAATTTTTTAATTTACATCCAAGTTGTTAGCATACAGTGCAATAATGATTTCAGGAGTAGATTCCTTAATGCCCCTTACCCATTTAGCTCATACCCCCTCCCACAATCCCTCCAGCAACCCTCTGTTTGTTCTCTATATTTAAGAGTCTCTTATGTTTTGTCCCCGTTTTCATATTATTTTTCCTTCCCTTCCCTTATGTTCATCTTTTTTGTATCTTTAAAAAAAATTTTTTTTAATGTTTATTCATTTTTTGATAGAGACAAAGCGTGAGTGGGGGAGGGGCAGAGAAAGAGGGAGACACAGAATCTGAAGCAGGCTCCAGGCTCTGAACTGACAGCACAGAGCCTGAAGTGGGGCTCGAACTCATGAACCGTGAGATCATGACCTGAGCTGAAGTTGGATGCTTAACCTAGTGAGCCACCCAGGTGCCCCATTTACTTTTTTATTTAAAAATATTTTTTTTAATTTTTTTTTCAACGTTTATTTATTTTTGGGACAGAGAGAGACAGAGCATGAACAGGGGAGGGGCAGAGAGAGAGGGAGACACAGAATCGGAAACAGGCTCCAGGCTCTGAGCCATCAGCCCAGAGCCCGACGCGGGGCTCGAACTCACGGACCACGAGATCGTGACCTGGCTGAAGTCGGACGCTTAACCGACTGCGCCACCCAGGCGCCCCTATTTAAAAATATTTTTAATGTTTATTGTTGAGAAAGAGAGAGACAGAGAGAGAGAGGGAAGGGAAGAGATATGGAGGGACAGAGAATCCCAAGCAGGCTCCACATTGTCAGCACAGAGCACGACGCGGGGCTCGAACCCACGAATAGTGAGATCGTGACCTGAGCCGAAGTCGGACGCCCGACCAACTGAGCCACCCAGGCGCCCCTTCATCTTTTTTGTATCTTAAGGCCCTCGTATGAGTGAAGTCATATAATATTTGTCTTTCTCTGACTCATTTCGCTTAACATAATACTCTCTAGTTCTATCCACATCCTTGCAAGTGGCAAGATTTCATTCTTTTTGATTGCCGAGTAATACTCCATTGTATATGGATCCCACATCTCCTATATCCATTCATCCATCGATGGACATTTGGGCTCTTAATGCAAAAGAGATCCTCTTTCTCCACATTCTTGCCAACATCTGTTGTTGCCTGAGTTGTTACTGTTAGCCATTCTGACAGGTGTGAGGTGGTATCTCATGGTGGTTTTGATTTGTATTTCCCTGATGATGAGTGATGTTGAGCATCTTTTCATGTGTCAGTTGGCCATCAGGATGTCTTCTTTGGAATAGTGTTTATTCATGTCTTTTGCCCATTTCTTCACTGGATTATTTATATTTTTCAGGGGGGGTGTTGAGTTTGGTAAGTTCTTTATAAATTTTGGAACTAACCCTTTATCTGCTTTTTCATTTGCAAATATCTTCTCCCATTCTGTCGGTTGCCTTTTAGTTTTGCTGATTGTTTCCTTCACTGTGCAGAAGCTTTTTATTTTGATGAGGTCTCAATAGCTCGTTTTTGCTTCTGTTTCTCTTGCTTGTAGAGAGATGTGTTGAATAAGAAGTTGCTGCAGCCAAGATTAAAGAGGTTTTTGCCTGCTTTCTCCTCGAGGATTTTGATGGCTTCCTGTCTTACATTGAGGTCTTTCATCCATTTTGAGTTTATTTTTGTGTCTGGTGTAAGAAAGTGGTCCAGGTTCATTCTTCTGCATGTCGCTGTCCACTTTTCCCAGCACCACTTGGTGAAGAGACTGTCTTTAATCTATTGGATATTCTTTCCTGCTTTGTCAAAGATTAGTTGGCCATTGTTTGTGGGTCCATTTCTGGGTTCTCTATTCTGTTCCATTGATCTGAGTGTCTGTTCTTGTGCCAGTACCATACTGTCTTGATGATTAGAGCTTTGTAGTGTAGCTTGAAGTCTGGGATTGTGATGCCTCCTGCTTTGGTTTTCTTTTTCAAGATTGCTTTGGCCCTTCGGGGTCTTTTCTGGTTCCATACAAATTTTAGGATTGTTTGTTTTAGCTCTGTGAAGAATGCTGGAGTTATTTTGACAGGGACCACAAAAACCGTATTTTAAATGTGAACAAATTGAATGATAAAAGCATAATTCTTTTTTTTTTCAACGTTTATTTATTTTTGGGACAGAGAGAGACAGAGCATGAACAGGGGAGGGGCAGAGAGAGAGGGAGACACAGAATCGGAAACAGGCTCCAGGCTCTGAGCCATCAGCCCAGAGCCTGACGCGGGGCTCGAACACACGGACCGCGAGATCGTGACCTGGCTGAAGTCGGACGCTTAACCGACTGCGCCACCCAGGCGCCCCTAAAAGCATAATTCTTAAAAGATAAAATACTTATAATCTTATAAATACAACTTCCAAATTCATATCTAATTAGAAAAAGAATTAGAGAATAAGTTACAAAAGGGAGAGAGGAAGGAAAGAGAAAGAAAAATTTTTACAGATATTAAGAAGCTTTAAAGTACTTGATGTTAACTGAACTACAAAACCATTATTCCATTAAGTAATCCAACCACTGATGTACTAAGTTTTAAAAAGTTGGTATTAAAAGAAAAAAAACGAACCAGTAAGACACTCTGATCCAAAGAATGATCAGAAAAACGTTTAAACAGGAAAAAGCAGAACTACCTTATACCTAGGCAATTATGTAAACTAACAAATGTGATCAAAGCCTAACCGCGTTCCCAAAAAGTGTTCAACCATTACTTATGTTTACTCAGGTGCTACCAAGCAAGATCCAAAAAGGACCCAGAGGCAGAGCCTGAAAACAAGGTCAGAGATCAGCTACCTGCGCTCGCTCTTTCTCTGGAACCACGAAGGCAGGTCCAGGCTAAAAAGGGACCAGTGAAGGAGACCACTGGCTGGCACCCTCACACCACTGGGGATGGCACCTCCCAGCTTACGCTGCTGGGAAGGTGAGCTGGCCTCTGAAATCCAGCCCTCAGCGGGTCTCCCCTCCCTCTGCCAGGAGGTGGAGGCCTGGCGGGGAGGCACAGCGGTGGCAGGCCGCGTTGGATCTTCCGTGTGCCTCCCGTTAACTAGAGTAGCCACCACACCGGTGAGAACTGTAGAGCCTCTGCTTGGGGAACCTATGAACCGACATGCCAACCGTTTACTTTGGCAGCTTCCCCAGTTTTACCCATAAACTTTAAGTCGTGGCGGTGCAAGAGGCCGGACACCCCACCACTGTCCCGCTCACAGCCCTCCAGAACCACTGCCAGAACCCCTGTCTTTAGAAGCAGTCTTCCTCCACGCTCCACGCAGGAGTAGAAATGGAGAGCGGGACTCGAATCTGCGTGAGGCCTCGGAAGGGAAGGAAGGGAGACCCCGAGGGCAGCCCCCAACACGAGAGAGGAGAAACGGGTGAGGAAGTCCGGGAGAGGGGATACCCTCGGGAAGGGAGGAGAAAAGGACCGGGGAGGGAGCACCCGGGTGGGAGACCCCGGCGACGGAGACCGAGGAGGGAGACTCGGGAAGGGGAGGCCGGGGGCGGGTGGGTACCCCGGGTGCGAGATCCGGTGAGGAAGACCCCGGGGACAGAGACCGAGGAAGAGACCAGGAAAGGGGACCCCCGGAAGGGGAGACCCCCCGGAGGAAGCCTCGAGGCCCGGCGCCTTTCGCCCGAACCTCGAGCAGCGCTCACCTGGACGAGGCCCGACAGCGGTGCGTCTGGTTCTCCGGCGCTGCGAGCCAAGGAGCGGACAGGGACGCACCTTACCCGCATCCCTCTCCAGGCGGCAGGCCCGCCCCCAGGGCGGGGACCGGGAGAGGACGAGGACGCGGTCGGGCGCGGGGAGGGTCTTGGCTGTCCGTCGCCCTCTCAGGAGGGCCGCCGCGGCGGACGCTGCCCACACCGAAACGCGTCCCCCTGAAAGGGGCGGAGCCTAGGTCCCGTCGGCCCCCGGTGGCGCAGTGCGCATCGGGATTTGTAGGACGGGGTAGACCCCGGTCCCGTCGGCCCCCTGGCGGCGCAGTGCGCGTCGGGATTTGTAGGATGGGGCCGGCCTGGGTGCCGTCGGACCCCGGGCAGCGCAGTGCCGGGTCGGAGGCGGGAGCGATGCCCGCGAGTCACATTGTCGCTGGGCGGCGCTGTGCACGCAGCAGTGAGGAGGTAGAGAGGGAGGTGGGGTCCCATGGGCCCCCGGGCGACGCAGTGCACGCTGGAGAGGGGCGGGGCCCGAGGGGTGTCGTGGGCCTCTGGGTGGCCCTGTGCACGCCGGGTGATGGAGTTCCCCTGGCGGGACCTGCCTCTGTGCCCCTGTGCCCCTTCCCCGGCAGGTGTCCCGGGAGAGAACGCCGAGGACGAGGACAGCGCGGCCGAGCCGGGGCCCCTGCGCAGACGACCGGAGCCGGCGAGAAGCTGGGGAGCGCCGGGGAGAATGGTAGGTGGCCTGCGGTGTCGCCTGCCGCCGAGTCCCTTCTGCGTACCTGGGGGCAGGGGAGCGCTGGGAGGCGGGGGTAGGGGGGCGCTGGGCGCAAAGGTCACGGGGGCGGCGGGGTCTCCGCCGGGCCTCCGGCCCTGGGGGCCCTGCAGGGAGGCACGCAGGTGGGAACCTGACGGGTGTCTGACGAAATGGAGGCACCGAGCGAACAGCGGAGTGAACCGTGCCTCTGCGGAAACGCGAGCAGCCAGTGAACGAGGAGCGAAGGACGTTTTGGGCAAACTAGCAACTTGTCGATGAAGCGGGGAAGGTAGCGCTTTTGAGCATGAGCACGAATCCGTTGTGGCTAGCAGGTGGAATTGAGAGTCAAGGAAGGGAACACTGCACAAGCAGCCTTGTATTCCGTGCTGGGGACTATATGGTTTATCCAGGAGCTGATGGGAGCCATAAAAAGTTTTTGAGAAGGCGAGGTGTGTGTGATGTGACCACGTTTGTGTTTTGTCAAGAGGAGAGGAGGATTTGGATCAGAGCGGTCAGGGCTGCAGGGGAGACCAATTAGGAAGCTGTTGTAATAATCTAGGTGGGAAGAGGTGAAGACTTGCATCAAAGATTTTCTGTCGGAATGAGAAGGATGAGAGGAGGCAGAGGGAGGACCTTCACTGAACTATTCAGACGCGGCTCGGGTACCTGAGCAGGTGGTGATATCATTGACCAAATTAGGAACTGTAGAAGGAAGAGCAGGTTCACGTGGGAAAACAACGCAGTAGGGATGAGAGGAGAGAGGAATCTCCTGGCTGGTCGGACATACGGATCCGCAGCTCAGAAGAGGGGCTTCGGGAAGCACACGCCTGTTTTGAAATGTAGTGGAAACCATGGTAGCCGGTGGGTTTCATCGTTGCTGGGGGTTGATGGTGAACAGACACGTGTGGGTTTGGTGTTCACGGAGCCGATGTCCTAGCAGTGAGACAAGCACGACCGTTTTACTACAGTTGGGATAAGGGCTGGGGAGAGGCACAGGTTCTGGGAACGTATGGGGTGGGTGAGTGGCGCCGGATGCTGGGGCAGTGATGGCAAAGCCACAGTAACGGGAACTGATGCTGTGTGGGCTGAATTCTCCAGACCGAGTGAGGTGGGGAGGGCAGCCAGACAGCTGCGGTCCCCTGGGCAGCAGGAACAAGCTCGGTGATAAGTCCCCAGAATTGGCAGATGCGGCTGCCTACGGAAAGTGCAGAGTCAGGGGAACGTGGCCCGTGGGAGGCTGCTGAGGGAACTGGAGTCAGGTTGTGCAGGGTCTTCTGGGGCTCAGGAAGAACATGCTCGCTTTTGTCCTCATGGTAGTGGGAGGCTGGTGAGCAGGTTTCCAACAGGAGAGAGATGGTTTGGGAGGAGTGTGTAGGGCAAAGAGCAGAGGCTTGAGGGCAGAACTCGGGGGGTAAAAGCAAAGACGGAGACCGAGAAGGGCTGCCCAGAGAGACAAGAAGACTGAGAGAGTTGGCTCAGAAACCAAGAGGGAGCTCAGTGGGCAGTGTGGCCGGAAGTTTCTGGATGACCCTGGTGGCTCATCGTGCTGCCCAGGCAGGATGCACCCACCACAGGAGGGGAGGGAAGGGGAAGGGCTCAGTGCTTAACCAGCGGAAGAGGACCTCGTGGTTAGTGCACAGGGGGGAGGTCCGAGAGTGGATTTTAATCTCACCCCCGGCCTGCTGGATACCAAAGCGGAAAACTGGAGCAAGTTTATGTATTTGACCCATGTGGTTGTGCTGACCGCCCCTTGGAATTTGGCCTTGAGGATTCTGTCGTGTTAAGTCTCTACCGAAGGCATTGCAAGAACTTATTTTCCTTTTGTATATGGGCAGTCTTGGTGTCCAAATTATGTAAGTGGTTTTTTTTCAAGGTCACAGTTAAAATGTTTTAGACTTTATCTGTAGTTTAGAGACTTTATTTGATTTTCTACTGGATTGTCCATACTTTGATTTCAAGAATTTTGTGTGTTTTGGGGCACCTGGGGGCTCAATCGGTTAAGCATCTGACTCTTGATCTCAGCTCAGGTCATGATCTCATGGTTCATGAGTTCGAGCCCCACGTTGGGCTCTGCACAGACAGCGCAGAGCCTACTTGGGATTCTGTCTCGCCCTCTCTTTGCCCCTCCCACACTTGCACACGTGTGTGCACTCTCTCAAAATAAATAAACTTAAAAAAAGAAGTTTGTGTATTTTAACAAAGTATGACAATTGAACTTACATCTCCCCCCCACCACACACACTTAATTTAATTTCTTTGCTGTAGTAAAGCCTCAGTGAGGGCCACCAGAGCGTGAAGGACAGGCCCTGCCAATTTATAGGCCTTTATTAATTTTACATGGATTTAGTCTGTTTTAATGGATCCAGAGTTTGCTTCTTTCCCCTGTAATTTTTCAGTTTATGAGGCTTTTTTTTTTTTCTAGAAAGCTTTATTCCTTTTTCTACAGATTCCAACTTAAGTCTCTTCGTTCTTTTTGGACATGAAGCATGCATAGTTTTTGTACTTACTGATTATTGTTTTAATCACCATTCTTTTATGGAGAAACGTGTAAGGGGTCACATCAAATTGTTGCATATTTGCTGACAGTCCTCTTCCGTTTCTTCCGGCCACAGACTTAGGGGTTAAGCTTAGACCTGAGGCTGCTGTTGCTCATTCAAAACCAACACGCTATGGAGTGCCTGGGTGGCTCAGTTGGTTGAGCGTCTGACTTCGGCTCAGGTCATGATCTTGTGGTTCATGAGTTCGAGCCCCATGTCGGGCTCTGTGCTGATATCTCGGAACCTGGAGCCTGCTTCAGATTCTGTGTCTCCCTCTCTCTCTGTCCCTCCTTCCCATGCTCATGCTCTCTGTTTCTCAATAATAAATTAACATTAAAAAAAAAAACAAAAACAACACCTTAGTACCACTCTGAGACTCAGCGTTGTGGGATCTGACCTTTAAGACACCTGGAGTAGATTGAGGAGGGATCTGTTTGTTTCTCTATCTGCTGGTCTCCCCGTTTGGTAACTGACATAGGAACAATTCAAGTCACTTTGCCTGGCTTGGGTCCATATACTCCTGTACCTCTCTTTCTAGAGTTTTCAGAGAGTATTTTCCTTTACGCTGTTGATATAACTCTTTTGTCACATGTTAAGACGTGATTATCAAAATACCTCAAGATCAGACAGCACATCTTCCAGACGTCTGACAACATTTACTTGGCACGGATCTGTCAACATATAATGCTAGTTAACTAATTCAATTACCTTACAGTACGTTACTGTGTTGAATAGTCTTGGAGGTTCTAAGAGTACTATGTTCAAATTTTGTTTTGAAGTAAAATCCACATAAGATTAGCTATTTTCAAATGTACAGTTCAGTGGCATTGAGTAGAATCAGTGTTGTGCTGTCTCTACCTGCATCTAGTTCCAAAACACATCATCACCCTCAAAGAAAACCCTGTGCCATTGAATAGTCAGTCTCCACTCACCCCAGTCCCTGGGAACAACCTGTCTGCTTTCTATGGATTTGCCCATCTGGATATTTCATATAAGTGAAATCACACAACATACAACATGTGGCCTTTCATGTCTGACTTATTTTACTTGGTGTGATGTTTCCGAGGTTCATCCCTGTCGTAGCATGGTCAGAGTTCGTTGTATGTTATTTTATTTTATTTTACAACCATGACAGAATTTTAAAATGTTGCACTGGTGGCGATTTACATGATACAGATGTCACGAGCATTTCTAGTGATGCACCAGGTGGGGGACAGACATCTGTCTCCAGTTTAGTTTCTGAGGGAGCCCTTGGCTTTGTCCACCCTCCCCTGGGGAGCCCATCACCTTCAAAAAAGATGTTTTACCTTTTGTCAGCTCACTGTCAAAGCATATGGGGGCTGCCCTAATTTAGCTATATTTTATCTTAACCAGAAGATATAACCCCAGGCTCTTTGTCTAGTTTTTTAAGTGGCTCAATTTCAGGAAATAGCATACAGGGTATACACTCTGTATATTCCCCTAGAGTCTAGATTGGGACTGGAAGCCACAGCCCACAGGCACATTGCCTGTGTGTCAGTAAAGTTTTATTGGTGCAGAGCATGTCCGTCATCCACATTGTAGAGCTGAGTAGCTGCAACAGAGACCAGTGACCCCTGATGTAGCTCCCTGGGCCTTGTAACCTGAGTTTCACCTTCCCTTACCCTCTGAGGAACTAATGGGCTCCAATGATGTGTGAAAACCCCAAAATTTTATGCAAAACCACATGCTTTACTGGAGAGACGATCTGTGATTTTCACCAGATTCCAGAAGGGACCCAAGACCCCAAATCATCAAGTCATTGTTCTAAGTAGCCAAAAGGCCAGTGCCCCATGTTACACTAGATCAGCAGTTCTCAGACTTAATTAGTTCTAGTCCCCTATGCGCTTTAAAAAATTGGGGCGCCTGGGTGGTTCAGTCGGTTGAGCGTCCGACTTTGGCTCAGGTCATGATGGTTCATGAGTTTGAACCCCACATCAGCAAGTCATGTGGCCTCTGCTTCACCCCAGTGAGAGTGAGAGAAGCAGATAATGACTTGGGGTTGTTGCGAAGATAGTTTTGTCCTTGGTGGAACCCTTGTGCAGTCTCGGGAGCCTGGGGTGCCCAGACTGTACCTGGAGAGCCGTGTGTTTGATCCGTCATTCTGCTGAACTGCACTCTGCTGTTTTGGCTTCAGCACGCTGTGAGGGAGGCCGGAGGAAGCTAAGCAGCTCTGGCCACCGTGCTGTTTACCCTTGGCGTTGGGGGGAGGAGTCGGTCTGGGACAGAGGACACACGCTGCAGTTACCCTTTTGTGAGCCGCACAGAGGCTGCTCTTTCGCGGTTCCGTGCCAGGAGGAGCCAGGCCACTGCTGGGCCACTGGTAGGTTTTTAAATCTTACGAAAACAGATTTCCTAACTAATCCTGTTTTCTTTTGTGGTTTGGCGGCCGGGAGGCTGAGCCGAATTTCAGCCCGCTTCCAGCTCTTGTGTCTGGTGCGCATGTCTGAATCTCGTCCCTGACTCTCCTTTTTTCCTCCTCAGTTTCCCTGGCTCCATGTTGTATTCCACTGCAGGTTTCCGGAAGGTAGAACTTATTCTGTGTGTTTTTATAAACTGTCTCATCCTTTTTAGCACAAGATCAAGAATCCCTCCTTTTACATGAAACTTCCCCTTCTGTTATTTTGTAAAGCATTTGTGTAAAGCATTAGCATCCAGTAGATTGTAGAGTCTGTGTTGATTTACAGAAAGTGGTGATTCACTGAAGGTGGTGATTCACTTTCATTTCTGGTGCCCTCTTCATCAGGTTACCTTACCTTAGATAAGTAGAAATTTAGCCGACCCCTGCCTGGAAGCGCTAGAATGCTATTTTGTTTCCTCACATACTATATATAGCGTGGTTACTGGCTGGTTTGCTATTTTCTGCCTGCCCCAGCCTCTGCCCTGTGTTCCCATTTTTAATTTCTGGCTCAGGTACACAGATCTGTTTGTGATTCATTTAGTCATAACCGGCTTTTTGTGGCCGCTTTTGGAACTTTAGTAAGTTATGCTTAACACTATTCTTAGTTACCTGTATATGTTTTCATCAGTATGACTCTGCTGATTTTAAACTGGGAAAAATCTAAATGATGTTTCCAAACTGTACAGCCCTCATTAGATCCTGAACTTAACTGGGGCTAAAGAGGACCCCCCTCCCCCACCACAGGCCGTGGTGATGTGGTCATGCCTGGGGTCAGACACCCAGCCTCACTGCATCAGAGAGCTACAGCGTGTAAAAGAGGGATTTTCCTGAAGACAGGGAATAAAGGGTTTTATGCAAATTGAAGTGGTTAGAGATTACAGCGTATTTTGTGTAAAAGCTTGATTCTTACAGTCGTTGGCATGTTTATCACCAGATAGATGCCATCATCCCGGTTTTCAGAGGACGGGGCGGTCTTCCTGACTACGGAGCCATGTGATGCTGTGGCCCGGGGCCCCGCGAAGAAGGGGAGCCAGCGAGGAAGCACGAGGTCCGGTACAAATACTGGCAGTGGCGGTGGGAAACTGAAGCGGAGCCGCGTCCCAGCCGCCTGGCCTTCCTCATGCTCTCACGTCCCAGAGCGTACACGTAAGCCGTCTCCGAGGGACAAGGTCCTGAACCTGTGGCATTTTGTCAGGCTGGCCGGAGTGGTGCCATGTGCTGCGGAGCACAAGCCAGGTAGACGCCAGAGGTGACCACGCCGACTCCCCGCGCGCCGTCGCTCCTGCTGCGGGCCCCATGAGAAGCACAGTGGACAGGAGGAAGCTGGAGCAGCTGTACGACAGGTACAGAGGTAAGAGCGACAAGCATAGAGGTAAGAGCAGCCGCGGGCAGCCTGCCTCTGTCTCTGGAGCACCCGGGACCCTTCTGCCTCCTGAGCTGCTGATGCTGAGCTGCAGAGGCCCCTGCGCTTCCGGGGAACCTCACCCGGTAGCCGACCCGGGCCGGGGTCGGGGGTGGCGGGCCGGGCTGTGACCCCGGTTTCCCCCCAGCGCTGCTGGGTAAGCTGGCACCCTGGTGGCGAGAGGGCTGTTGAAGAACAGGACCAGCTCCTAGAAGAAAGTCGGATCTGTGGGTACACGTCCTCTTGTGCTCGCACAGCATGGCTGTGCGGTGGCCCCGGAGCCACCTGGCCGTTGGGGCGGCTTCAGGAGCCGCTCCTGGCGAAGAGACTTTTGTGTTACAGGTTGGGGATGGTGGTTTGTTGGGAACACCAAAGCTTAGAGCGGCACTCTCCATGTGCGGATTCGGTCACGCTGCCCAAGTCTGGTGACAGGTCTGTACACATCCAGACGGCTCAGATTTCAGCAGCTTTTCAGATTTCATATCGGGTGTCAGGTCTGTGCTGTCATCACAGAGGCAGCCACTAGTCAAGAGTTGACTTACTTTTCCTTTCTAGCAGTTTCTAAGGCTAATCTTGTATTTCCAAAACCTAAAAAAAAAAAAAAAAAAAATACACAAAGCACTCATTTAACCAAGTATTAACCTAAACAGAATAACTCGCTTGGCTTTAAATTCTTGTTGACATATTATTTTCATGTTTCACTTTTGAAAATACTGTATGTGTATTTTAATCTATTTAGATCTGAAAACAGATTTAAAACTGCATTTTTTTTTTAATCATGGCACAAAAACATACTCTGTAGTAGAAAAACCAGGTTTGTATTTGGAAAACAAACAGTGGTTTTGAAAGTGAAAAGTCATCATTTTGAATAAGCTGTAATGCACTCCAAGTTACTCTGGCTGAGGTTGTCATGGGGCCTGTCTCGGAGGTCACACACCATGCAGGTGGCTGGAGGTGTTCAGACATGTCCAGCCACCTGTGAGAGAGTTCCTCCCTGTGAGGGTCGTTCTGTAGTGGAAACCTAACCCTCACATCCTTTACTCGTGCAGTTCTGGGCCTTTCAAGTAGACACGTTGTGGGATCCCTGTGGGCTCTGCAGAGACGTGCTGTTCCAAGGCCCTGACAGACACAACCTTGTTAGGACTAATGTATACATATGAGTGAGTCCTTGCAGAGTGACTTTAAAATAGTCAGTGTTCCTGTAGGTGAGGGCAGTGCAGGCCCACTGTGCTCTCACCCTGGGGATCTGTATAGCACTGGGAGCGTTGACAGGAGGGGGGTGAGAACCAGGAGCCCTCGGGACAGCTGCTCCCTCATTAATATGGGAGAGCAGGCCTGGGAGGAAGCCTGGGCCTCCGCTTGTTGATTACGGCATTCGTTTTATTTTATGTACTTGTTTTCTTTTCTTTTTTTAAATTTTCATTTCGTTTCAATAACAAGATGTCTATGAAAATATAGTATATAGTACTGAAGTGACCAAAGTTGGATTTTGTGTCATGGAAGAATTTTATCACGCTTAATCTTCATTGGAGCAAAGAGGCTACAAATTTTCTAGTTGTGCCTCCTAAACCAACAGAATTAACACACACGTGATGGCATCTTAGTATACACGCACTTTGTTGGAAATTACTAGACCTGGTTTGGTGAGGTCTTACTGAGATTTTTCTAGTAGATTTTATTAGATTTCCTGATGAAGAAATGCTAAGTTCCTTAATTTCATTTCTAAACCAGAAATAGGGACAGAGGGAAGCCTGAATTTCTAAGCTGTTAAATGTGGATGCATGAACTAAACGATTTTGAAAACTAAATACTGTATAGTAGCATTAAAATTATAGCAAACAAAATCACCTTAAAAAAAACATGAGTTTTTCTATTGCTTTGGCAGGATTGAGATAAAAATATGTAATATTTAAAAAAAAATTTTTTTTAGAGAGCACGAACAGGGGAGAGGGACAGGGGAAGAGAGAGAGAGAGAAAGAGAGAGAGAATCTTAAGCAGGCCCCATGCTCAGTGCAGAGCCAGATGTGAGGCTCAATCCCATGACCCTGGGATTGTAGCAGGGGTCTCGCAGAGTCATGACACCAAGGCTTTTCTTTCCAGGAAGCAACTTTATTCCTGCCGGGACCGCTCAGTTGGGCTTGTACCCATGTAGCCTTTTATGCATTTTCTACTTCCTTGTCTCCCAAATACGGGTAACGTATAGACATACAGTCTGATTGGGTGCTCTCATGTTACAGGGTCGTTAGGGATGTCACGTATGCACATGGGCAGGTTGCCTTCCCTTATCTTGAGGGCTTTTTTCTCACCACATTTCTTAGGGAGGGGACCCTACCACAGGACCATGACCTGAACTGAAATCAAGAGTCGGATACTCAACTGACTGAGCCACCCAGGCTCCCCCAAAACTCATAATATTGTAAACACTTTGCCAATGCAGTATTTTTTTTAATTAAAGAATATTTATCTATTTTTAATGTTTATTTATTTTTGGGAGAGAGAGCGGGGAAGGGTCACAGAGAGAGAGTGGGAGAGGGAGAGAGGATCTGAAGCAGGCTCTGTGCTGACAGCAGCGAGCCCAATGGGTGCGGGGCCTGAACTCACAAACCATGAGATCATGACCCAAGCCAAAGTCAGACTCTCAACCAACTGAGCCATCCAGGAGCCCCAAGATTTTTTTTTTTTTTAACTAATCTCCATACCCAACATGGGGGTGAAACTCACGACCCTGAGATCAGAGAGTCACATGCTTCCCCCTACTGAGCCAGCCAGCCAGGTGACCCACAGTGCAGTATTTCTGTGTAGCAGTTTGTCTTTGGGCGAACTAGAATTGTGTAAACTTTGAGTTTTTATTTTCTTTATGGAAATTAAATTTTTTCTTAACGATGACATCTTCTCAAAGAGGTTGCAATGGTCTTTTTTTTCTTCTCCTAAACTCCAGTACCTAGATTTTTTAAATAGGGATTTTTTTTTCTGGATAAATTACCATTTGTTGCTATTTCATATACAGTAGAAAATTGTGGTCTATTGATTGATGTATTTGAAACATGCTTGGTAGAGCCATCTCATAGAGCTATGATGCTTACCACCCATTTTTTTTATTTTTCAAAATAGCATAACTTCTCTCTCTCTCTCTTGATTTTAACTGTAGACCCACAAGATGAAAATAAAATTGGAATTGACGGAATTCAACAGTTTTGTGATGACTTAAGCCTGGATCCTGCCAGCATCAGCGTTTTGGTCATTGCGTGGAAATTCAGGGCAGCGACGCAATGTGAATTTACCAAAAAGGAATTTGTAGATGGCATGACAGAGCTCGGGTAAGTAAGTTTGTCTCAGTTTAAATTTTTGCAAAAAGGAAGCTGCCTTCAACATTAGTTTTTTTTTTTTATTAAATTTTTTTTTTCAACGTTTTATTTTTATTTTTGGGACAGAGAGAGAGACAGAGCATGAACGGGGGAGGGGCAGAGAGAGAGGGAGACACAGAATTGGAAACAGGCTCCAGGCTCTGAGCCATCAGCCCAGAGCCCGACGCGGGGCTCGAACTCATGGACCGCGAGATCGTGACCTGGCTGAAGTCGGACACTTAACCGACTGCGCCACCCAGGCGCCCCAACATTAGTTATTTTTCAACAGCTTGTAAATATTAGTTTCAAATTCATTTACGTTCTGTGTGTATCTTACACATTTCTTGTACCTGTACTCTATTAAGCTTTTAGTTTCCTTTAAATTCAAATAAAGTTTCACTTAATATTTTTGTTCAGATTAATCCCTTTTGTAACTTACTTTTTTCTTTTTAATTTTTATTCTACCAGTTTTGAATTGACAGTAACTATCAGGGTGTTTTTATTTGTTTGTTTTCAGCCATTGAATTTATTTCGTAATATTGTATACTAATTGTATAATTTATTGTGTTTCTATAGTAAATATCAATAAATTATTATTTCGTTTTTTGCTTATAACACTTCTCTGTTCTACCTCCAGGGTTAGGATAAAGGCTTCATTAATAACTTAAGATGGTTCTCACTTATCAGATAAGTCAGACAATTAAGTGAAAGCACATAACGTAAATATCTTTTAATCATTAGGCTTATTGAGCTATTTCATGGGTTGGTATGAAGGCTAACTCGCTTGACTTGCTGATACTGTGACATTGTAGTGTTGACAACTTAAGCTGGCTTATTTTTAGTTGCTGAAGGAGCTTGACAGCCCAAGGTGAATATGTTCAGAAGGTGCATACTTCCCACATCCCTGGGGAAAAATAGAGCATTTGTTCATAAGGTGCATACTTACAGCTAACCCCGGGGCCCCAGGGAAAATGGAACATTTGTGTTTTCCACTAAGCTGATGAATCTGTTACATTTATCCGCCTGGTCTGTTTCGATGATAAACTCTACAGGACTTACCCTATTGCTGGCGGTTGTGTAAAAGCCAGCAGAAGACATCACTGGGACAGTGGTTGTGACAGCATATCACTCCATGTTCTGTGCACTCAAGAAAATGGAAAAGCCACACTAAAGAAGCATTCTCTTGCCGCTGTACTACACTCATCCATCTGCTAAAACCTCCCCCAAATAGGATACTTTGGAAATAAGTGCTTCTTACAGAAACACTTGCTAGCATTTCTTAGGCATTATCTAGAAATGTGTTAGATGAACTTTTAAAATTCCTGTTTGTTATCCTAATACGTACTATATCTTAAAGAACCTATTTTAAAGATTTTGAGTGTGAATCTTCCCAAAGTGTTAGATGAGTTCATGCCTCCTTATGCGTGGATACAGGTGACTTGAGGTTATAAGTCAGTGCTGGCCAATGGCGCCACTCGTCACATCTCACAGAGTGGTTACAAGGGAAAGTACTCATTAAGCATTCAAGTGCTGTCTACGAGATGGAAGTATTAGTGATGTGACAGCCACCTGTACTGCAGAGATAACCTCAGTGCTTTTAGGGATGTAAAAGGCTATTGTAGTCTGAGCAGCACTAAGCTTTAAAAAGCACTTTGGGTTTGGGTTTTTGATCTGCTCTATTACTGTTTTTCACACTTTTTCCTGGCTATTAACTCTCCCGGTGGCTGGAACACTTGGCCTCTAGCTGTTAACCCTACAGCCTTGCCTTTCATTGGGGGCTGGAGGCTTGGTAAATGAGCTTTGTGAACGTCATGAAATCCCTTGACATCTTTGTCAAAACAAGAAATTGGCCATACTGTGGATCTATTTCTGGACTCGCTGTCATATTTTGTGGGTCTGTTTATCCTTAACCTTGAAGCACATAGTGTTCATTATTGTGGCATTAGGTAAGTCTTGAAAGGAACTAGTGAAGTCTTCTTATTTTTCATCTGCCTCAAGATTGTTGGTCAATTTTTATTACATCAGCAGGGAAAGAAGAGTGTTCCATGACTGATGCTGAAATAGCCAGGTCAGCCTGAGACCACGTCTCCCTGGGGCCCGCATCAGGCCACAGGCCGTGTCTTGAGGTGGACGGGGGCTTACATGCCCATGCAGGAAACTTAGAATTGTGAATTCTAGACAAATCACGGGAGAAGCTCTTTGTTAAGACCCAGATTAAGGGACATTGTCTTAGAGAAGATGTGAAAAGCACTAGCCATCAAAGCAAAAAAACTGATAAATTGGACTTCATCACAGGTAAGAGCTCTGCTTAATGAAAGATAGTGTTAAAAAGACAAAACAGTGGGAGAAATATTTGCTTTCTTTGTGTATGTTACAGTCGTGATAAAAATGGTAGAGGACGTGACTTATGTGTGATTCCTAAATAATGGAGCAAGAAGAAAGTAATAAATTCAATCCAAAAGAATGTGGGGGAAAAAGAACACAAGGAAAATTACTTAATGTAGGACAAATAGCGAGCACGTGATAAAATGGAGGATTGAAAGCAAAATATGTCGGCATTTCCATAATTAATTTAGTGTAAGTGAACTAAGTATTGGGTGGGTTGTAGAACATCAATTCAACCACTGTGTACACTGTTTACAATAGATATGGTTAAAACATAAGGGCACAGAACAATTTGAGGGGTGAAGGTTGATGTAATTTGCAAACATTAACCAAAACAAGTTGGTGTGGGTATGTTAATGTTAAAATAAGCTTTAAGGCAAAGAATAATTCTAGAGATAATGAAGGACATTTCATAATGAGGAAGGGTTTATTTCACATGGAAGGCAATAGATTATTTAAAGCAAAAATAAACACTAAAAAGAGAAATCTATCAATCTACAATCACAATGGGGAATTCTCACACACATCTTACCAGATGAAAAGAGCAGATGAAAAATCAGTAAGGAAATAGGACATTTGGGCAACACAACAAGTGACCTGATTATACCCTTTGATGTTGAAGAATATGTACTCTTTTTAGAAGACAAGTAGACCATTTGTAAGTGTTGACCACAAACTGAGGCATAAAAGAAGTTGCAACAAATTTCAAAGGATTGAAGTGATAGAGTGTATTTTTAGGCCATAACACAATTAAGGTAGAAATATAACAAAAGATAACTCAGTCAGTTGAAATACATGTGGATATAGCTTTTGGATTAGAAAGAAGTTACCATGGAAATTAGAAAGTATTTTGAATGATGAAAACACTACTTATGAAAACTTGCAGGATTCAGCTTCTTAAGTGCATATTTTGGAAAGAAGAGTTAAAAATCAGTAAGCAAAGTATCTATCTCAAAAAGCAGGAAAAGCAGGAAACTAAACTCAAAGAATGTAGAGAGAAGGAATTACTTTTTTAAACAGGCAGTGATTTCAGGAAATAGAAAAGAAGTTGTCAATAGAATCAAGCCAGAAAACAAGCCAGAAGCTTGCTGTTTGAAAAGACTTATAAAAGTAGTGAGGAACAAATAAACAATATGGCATGAAAAGAGAGACATCACTATAGACCCTACAGATGTTAAAGGTGAAGAGTTTATTATGAACAACAACTCTATGCTAGTAATCGTGAAAACCTGGATGCCAAAGAAAAATTCTCTTAAAAATGTGACTTACTGAAATGGACATATAAATAGTTCCATAACTCTTTTAAAGAATGAGAACTCATAATTTTAAATCTTCTCAAAGAGAAAAAACTCTTGGCCTCGATTGGCGCACATCTTACAAAACATTTAATAAAGAGAACAGTGCCAACTCTACACAGCCTCTTTAGAGAATTGTACAGGAAGAAACTCTTTCCAATTTGTTTTGAGGCCAGCACAACCTGGATAGCAAAGGATATTTTAGTGCTGCCGAAGCAAGCACAAAAGGATATTTTGAGAATGAAAGATTATTGTCCACTCTCAGTCATAGGAATCAAAAGATGCATAACACGCAAAAATCTTAGACAAATTATTAGCAAACTAAATCCAGCCCCCAAAACAAATCAACCAAAAAACCAGGATTATTTATCATGACAAAGTTTGTTATAGTCTGGGATTGTGAGATTTGTTTAACATTACAAAGCCAATGTAATTTATCACAACAACAGAAAAGGGGGGATTATCTCAGTGCATAAAATAACTTTGATAAGGGGCACCTATGTGGCTCAGTCTGTTAAATGTCCAACTCTTGATTTCAGCCCAGGTAATGATCTCACAGTTGGGAGATTGAGCCCCACGTCAGGCTCCACACTGAGCATGGAACCTGCTTGAGATTCCCTCTCCCTCTCTGCCCCTTTCCAGCTTGTGCATGCACTTTCTTTCAAAATAAATGAATAAGCATTTTAAAAAATAATTTTAAAGAATGGGTTTGATAAAATTCAATTTCATTCAGGGGCGCCTGGGTGGCTCAGTTGGTTAAGTGTCCGACTCTTGATTTAGGCTCAGGTCCCAATCTCACAGTTTGTGAGTTCGACCCCTGTGTCAGGCTCTGTGCTGATAGTGTGGAGCCTGCCTGGGATTCTCTGTCTCCCTCTCACTCTGCCCTGCTTGCGCTCTCTCTCTGGCTCACACTCTCTCTCAAAGTAAGTAAATAAGCATTAAAAAAAAAAAATCAATTCTGGGTGGCTTGGGAGGCTCAGTTAGTTAAGCATCCAACTTCAGCTCAGGTCATGATCTCACAATTCATGAGTTCAAGCCCCACATAGGGCTCTGTGCTGACAGCTCAGAGCCTGGAACCTGCTTCAGATTCTGTCTGTGTCTCTCTCTCTCTCAAAAGTAAACGTTTAAAAAAATTCAATTCTGTTCATAATGTTTTGAAAAAGAACTTACAGCAAACCAAGAATAGAAGGGACAGTACTTAATCTGACCCCTCCACCCCCGTTCTGCCAAATCCTAGAGGAAATCTTATACTTAACTGGAACATGAATGCCTACTTTTATTAAGCATTGAACAGGTGGTGGTAGCTAGTCTGATCCACAGGTGAAATATTAGAGTCAATAAGTGAGTTTAGCCAGACTGTAGGACCCAAGATCAACAAACAAAAATCAATCTTATTTTAGAATACTGAATGCAACAATTCAACAAAACAAAGTGAATTTTTAAAATATATGTCATTTTCAATAGTATCAGTAATGAAAAACACCTAGGATAAATGTAATTAAAGATGTGTGCTACCTCCACAGAGAAAATAACTTAAGAAGAGGCAAGAAGCCTGAGTAGAGACATAAACCTCATTATAGGTTGGAACAGTCAGTATTTTGTCCCTAAATTTACGTATTTAATGTGATCTCAATCAAAACCATAGTAAGTAGTAGTTTTTATATATGTGTAGTTTGACAAATGGATTTAAAATTTATATGAAAATGCACAGTCAAGAACAGCCAAAAGTTCTTAAAAAACAAAAGGGGGAAGATCTGTTCTCTCAGATAATTAGGACTTTTCAAGCTACAGTAATTAAGACTACTTGGCACTACTACTGAGATCAGTAGACCAGTGGAACAGAATGGGAGCCAAGAAACAAACCCGTGTGTTAAGGTACATTTGATTTATGGCAAAGGCAGCCTTCAGAGACGTGAAGAAAGGACATCTTTTCAGTAAATGGTTCTGGGAGAATTGGCACATGGAGAAGAACTTACCTTGATCCTTACCTCACAACGTACATAAAAAATCAGTTCCAAGTGGATCATAGATGTCAGTGTGAAAGGCTAAAGGCAAAAGCCAGAAGCCTCTAGAAAAATCATGTAGGAGAATATCTTTATGACCATGCAGTGGGGGAAGTTTGAACACCTTTAAAAAAAAACAACCACAAACCTGTGGCACCTGGGTGACTCAGTCAGTTAGGCCTCTGACTTTGGCTTAGGTCATGATCTCATGGTTCCTGAGTTCGAGCCCTGCATTGGGCTCTGTGCTGACAGCTTGGAGCCTGGAGCCTGCTTCAGATTCTGTGTCTCCCTCTCTCTCTTTGCCCCTTCCCTGCTTGTGCGCTCGCTCTCTCTCTCTCTCTCTCTCTCTCCTCCCCCACTCACATGCTCTGTCTCTCAAAAATAAACATTTAAAAAATTTTGTAAAAAACACCGTGAAGAAGACTGGCAGTGTATTATACTAAAAATAAGAATTCCGATCATCAAGAAGGGAAAATGCAGTCCACATTGGGGTAGACTGCTTAGCTGACCAAAGCTTATGTCGTTCATATATAAAGAAAGCCTGCAAAACAATAAGAAAAAGATACCTAATTGAAAACGGGCAGGAGACTTGAACTGGCACTTCACAAAAGAGCATCTCCAAATAGCCAGTCAAAATACAAGGTGTGCAGTGTTGTTCACTGAGGAAGTACAGGTTAAATTACGACAAACTTAATCTGTGGAATGGCTAAAATAAGACACAGTTGTGTGTATCACTGAAAACGGGAGGAACAGGAACTCTCGTATACTGCTGGCAGGGGGTTGACATGGGGCAGTCTCTTTAGGAAACAGTTTGGTATCACAACACTTGAGATTCGGTGACCCAGCTGGCCCACTTGGTCTTGTGCCTAACCTAACACATTTACTTGTGTGCCTGGATACATGTATAGAAATGTTCTTAACAACCTTTGTTACCAGAAAACTAGAGATAGCCAGAGGATTTCTCACTGGCAGAACATACAAATCATAAAGTATGAATACAGTGGAATGCTACATGGTAACGAAAATGACTCAATGTGAGCTACACGCCAGCACAAGTGAACCTGCAGACACAGCGTCAACACAGAAAGCCAGACACAAAAGCCAGACATGTGCTCCCATTTACAAAGTTCAAAAATGGGGCAACTGACCATCAGGGAGTGCTTGCTTGGAGTGATGCAGGCACACAGGAGGGCACGGAGTGGCCCCATAGAGAAGAGGCCTGAGGTGGGGAGCACGCCAGCCTTGGTGTGGGTCCCTGGAGCTGTACGCCTCACCTCTGTGTCACTGCGCAGGTGGCCACTGAGGCAAGGCTTCCCCTGCTTGCTCCCAAGCCCTAGGGCTCTGCTGTGGCATTGGTGAAGCAAGAGCTGTTACGATCTTCTTGCTGGGTTGTCAAAATAAAAAAGAAATTTTATGTTTTGCTATTCTAGATTTCTGCTTTTAAGGCTTTTTAATATTCTTAAAGGATGTTGACTTTTTGGAGGAAGATCAATGTTTTAATTCATTTTCAGCAAATGTATGTTTTAAATTCCAGCGTAATTAATGTAGCGCTATGCTAGTGTCAGGTGCACAGCAGTAGCGCTATGCTAAGTGCACAGACTTAGCAGTTCTGTGTGTTCCTCCGTGCTCATCACAGTAAGTGTGTGCCATCCCTTCACCCACTTGCCCCTTCCCCCCCATCCCCACCCCGCGCCCGGAAAGCCCGACTCTCGAGCAGTGGAGTTGTGTTTTGTCCTATGTGGACGAGCCTGGCCATAAGGAGGCGACCCCAGGGCCAGAATTCGCCCACTCAAAGTCCACAAGTCTGGTTTTGGCGTCTTCACGGCACTGTGCGGCCACCACCACCATCCGTTCTGGAGCACCGGAATCCTTTTAGCTAGAGAAGGGGGCCCGCAGGCCACAGGGAGTGGCCAGACTGGGCAGGCGCTTGTCCCGCCACAACAGCACTGTCTCTCGGCAGGTGTGACAGCACAGAGAAGCTGAGGGCCCTTCTGCCGAGGCTGGAGCAGGAACTGAAGGACACGGCGAAGTTTAAGGATTTTTATCAGTTTACCTTCACCTTTGCTAAGAACCCCGGGCAGAAGGGTTTAGGTGAGTATAAAATCCAGATTCGTAAGAAGCCACATCTTCATGAGACTAAAAGTGGGCAGGACCTGCCAGGTGACAGTCCTGCTGCGACAGGGTTCCTGTTCCTGCCTTGGTGCCTTCTGACCACTGGGCGTGCCACGGCCACGCGGGCCACCTGGTACCACCTGCACTTGCGCTCAGCCCCTAGTCAGTCGCCACTTCCGGCCTTAAATATTTAAACTCCAAAACGTAAAGTAACTTGCAAATGCTCCGCATTCTGTCATACTAATAACAGTTGACTAATGGGTTAGAGAAGTCAGCAATTGATACCGACAGTCAGAATGTTTGTATCAGCCAGGTGTGTGGTCCAGCAGATGGTATTGTGGGGACCGGCCAGGGGACATTAATCCTGTCCTGGTCTGGAGATTTAAAGTTACCTTACTTGAAAACAATTCTGACATGCCTTGGGTTACATCTTAGTGTTTATTTCAGAGTTATGTAGTTTTGCTATAATATAAATTTGTTTGGAAAATTCTTAACTTTTTAGTGTGAGTTTGGTTTCTCTGAGGGTTTTATTCTGCTTATTTTCATTTCTTTTTCCCCCTAAATGCTATATAATTTATTTGCTTAATGTAACAGACATGTTTAGTTCAGTAAAATGTTTTACAAGTTTAGAGGGGGACTGACATGGTCTTTAGGGATTAAACAAGAATATGTTTCGAAGAAGAGTTCCTACACATAAAAAGCAATATTATAAAATAACCAGTTTTAGGAAGGAAACCAAAACGGGCTTGAAAATCCACAGATAGAAAAATCCACTGCAAACAATTGATTTCGGGGCCTGATTTCACCTGTGCATGTCTGTAGGTGTGTGAGCAGTGAACATTCTTCTCCCCTCTGTCTCTTACTCCTGTTGGCAGGTCAAATGCAGGCGCAGATTGAGGCGCTGGACTCTCCCATCGCGGGTGGGATGGTTCAGGGGCTGGGCTCTCCCATGGCAGGGGGTGGGGGTGGGGGCGGGTGGGGGCTGGGCCCTCCTGACCCAGAAGAGGGGTGTGTGGGGGCTGGTCTCTCCCATGGTGGGGAGAGGTGCAGGGACTGGGCTCTCCCATAGGGGGTGTCAGGGGCTGGGCCCTCCTGTCCCAGAGGAGGGGAGGGTGCAGGGGCTGGGCTCTCCCATGGTGGGGGGAGGTGCAGGGACCAGGCTCTCCCATAGGGGGTGTTAGGGGATGGGCCTTCCCATGGGGGGTGTGTGGGGGCTGGGCTCTACCATGGAGGGTGTCTGGGGCTGGGCCCTCCTGTCCCAGGGGGGGGGGGGGGGGGGGGGGCTGGGCTCTCCCATGGAGGGGAGGTGCAGGGACTGGGCTCTCCCATAGGGGAGGTGCGGGGGCTGGGCCTTTCTGTCCTGGAAGAGGGGGTTGCAGGGGCTGGGCTCTCCCATGGGGGGTGCAGGGGCTGGGCCCTCCAGTCCCAGAGCAGAGGGGGTGTGGGGGCTGGGCCCCTCCCATGGGAGGGGGTACAGGGGCTGGGTTCTCCCATGGGGGGGTGTCAGGGACTGGGCCCTCCTATCTCAGAGCAGGGGGTGGGGGCCATCTTTCATAAGCACTATGCTTGTTCCCATGGCAGAGATGGTTTTCTTCTTTTTACTTGTTTTTCTCCAGTGCTGTGGTTGTTCACTTTTACTCTTGGTACCTTGCACTGTGATGAGTCTCTCATCAGATTCCCTCTGTCTCCAGGCTAGTTGGCCTTGTGAACGGCTTTCTCACCCTGTGTGCCACCTCGAGGATCATGCTCCTGCCACCCTGGGAGCTGAGAAAGGGTCTCCGTGTGAGCCCCGTTCAGGAGCTCACTTGAACAGTTCTGCCAAAACTTTGGGAAGGTGGCAGTGGGAGAGCCACCAGGAAAATTAAGGATGTATTTTCTCCTGTTCCAGGAAATGGGTGAGCAGACAGGCCTGCCGTTGGGTAAAGGGGCAGCAGCGAGCCACCTCTGGCAGTGGAGGCTTTGTGCGGTCCCCACCTTGTCGTGCGTCGGAGAGCCGGGGCGGTGGGAAGAAAGATGGCCTGCCATTGGTGAGGGATCCTGCCGCCTAAGCAGGAGCTGGTTAGGGACAGTGGAGCGTGGGCAGTGGAAGAGCGAGTGGACGCCAGGCCTGCTGGGTTGTGTCTGTCCTCACCCCCTTGAAGGGACCAGCCCGTGCTTGGTCAACCGACTGAGGGAAGGAGGAGCCGGGTGGCCTCCACTACCGCCTGAATCTCCCTGGGCGTTGGGGGCATTTTGAGCACATCAGGCTGTGATTGCCGGCCGGGTGCTGCCTCTCCTGGAGACAAGCTTCCCGGGTGTCCCCACAGGGGTGCCAAGAGGTGAGATTGAGATACTGGCAGTGGGACCCTGGCTGCATTAGAATTTAGGGTGATTCTGGTCATGTTGGTGCAGAGTGGAGAGCTGTGCTCGTGGTGTTTTGTTCCTGGGAAAATCAGAGTGCTTACAGCATTGCTGACCGGTGAGGGGTAGAGTGCGGTGCTGGGACAGCTGGTCATGGACACGCCAGTGCCTCCCCCTGCTCCCCCATTGCCCCCTATCCAGACATCTAGGTGCAAGCCCGGCCTCCTCACCCAGTGTGGCTTCTGCCATAGGCGGCTGTTCTTATGTTTTATCTCATGACCAGAAAGAAAGGTGGAAACTACCGTTTATTAAGCACCTGTCGTGTGGCAGACAGGTGCTTTCATCTGCCCACGTGTAGTCTTGCCCACGTTTTGTAAACAGGGAAACAGGCTGAGGGATGGAGTGCATGTCAGAGGTGTGCGGACAGGCCACGATGGCAGGTTTAGGGCCCCTCCTCTCCTGTGCCCTGCGTTCACACATCCTGGCGGGCTGCCTGACATGGGTGGAGATCACTCCCAGGGACCCGAGTGGTGAAGGTCGGACAAGCCTCGAAGGATCAAGTCCGTCTTGGCTCCACTGTCCCCTCCTGGTTGCCGTGCTTGCCTCTGCCCTGCCCTGTTCTGTGACCTGCATGCTCTCAGGACACTTGGGACCCACCTTCACATGGGCCCTGGGCCCAGGAGCTCCCCAGTGGACCCACATCGTGAAGTTTGTGTCGTTCAGTCTCAACATTCTTGTTTCATACTGTATGAACAAGATTTTGCTGTGTGAGCAAAATCTATCACAATTTGCAAACTCCTAAAATATTCAGTTCTGTTTTTGCACAAATGCTTTCACCTCGTTTTTTTTAATTAAAAAAATTTTTTTAATGTTTATTCATTTTTGAGAGACAGAAAGAGAGAGAGAGAGAGGGAGCGCAAGTGGGGTTGGGGCAGAGAGAGAGGGAGACACAGAATCGGAAGCAGGCTACAGGCTCTGAGCTGTCAGCACAGAGCCCAATGCAGGGCTCAAACTCACTAACTGTGAGATCATGACCTGAGCCGAAGTTGGATGCTGAACTGACTGAGCCACCAGGTGCCCCTCATTTTTTATTTTTTATTTATTTTCAGATTTGTGAACTACAGTGTCAGTTTTATTTATTTATTTTTATGTTTATTTATTTTGATAGAGCAAGCATGAGCAGGGGAGGGGCAGAGAGAGACAGAATCCCAAGCAGGGTCCACACTGTCAGCTCAGTGCCCAACATAGGGCTCGATCTCATGAACCGTGAGATCATATATAACCTGAGCTGAAGTCAAGAGTCAGACGCTTAACTGACTGAGCCACTCAGGTGCCCCCCTTCACCTCATTTTTTTAAAAGTACCAAATGTTGACCAAAATCATGGTGATTCCTCACGTAGGATTGCTTCATCTGGTTGGTGCCATATGTCAAGTGACGTGCCCCATCAGTGGCTCCTGGGTGTGGACAGGAAAAGCTCTCTTGCTCTCAGGAGGCTGCCATGGCGTGCCCTGGAGATGTGGGACCTGGTGGTCAGGCCCACCAGACTCTAAGGCTTGAGTGTCACCTTAGGTGGGACATGGTCTGACTTTGGTAAAGGTCACTGTAACGGGTGGTGGATCAGAGCATCGTCTTGCCTTGTTTGTGGTGCCGTCTTGATGACATCAGCCCTTGGATTTTGCTCTCTCTGTGACACAGTAGATGAGTTCACCTCCTCACCCCCTGCCTCGCACCCTCTGTGGGCCTAGCACCTGACCACACTTTCAACCTCGGCTCTATTTTTGTCTGATCTATTGCAGCGCACAGACGTTTTTGTTTCAGGAATGACAAATACCTGGAGGAATGCCACCCTAACTGCCGTTTCCCCTGCGGCGGGGTTAGTGGCTGCCAGGGGAGGCAGCGTGGCGCAGAAGGGCGGCTTCTGAGGCGTGCAGTGACCCTCGGGGACAAGCCTGTGGGAGGGCAAGGGTGCCAGCCTCTCGTTTACTTCACAGTATAAGTGGTATTATTACTTTAATTCTGTTAAGACAACTAAGAAAAATGTGTAAAACATCATTAGCTCCGTGACACCCCGTAAGGTGGCAGGTCAGGTGCGTCATGGCACACAGAGCCGCTGGACCGCACATGGTGACGTGAAGGTCCCGGCCTTCAGGGAGACCGTCACTGTTGAGGGCTGTCTTGGATCAGACGGCGCCTCTGGCAGTCCTCTGTTTGGGACGCCAGCTGCGGTCCCTGCAGCTCACTGCCCACCTCCATCAACCTGACGGCGATGTGGGGTGTCGCTCCAACTCCATCATTTCGTTCCACGTGTTATGTGGAATAATCCTAGGAGGTGGTGCCTCAGCACCCAGCGGTGTGGTCCAGCTCCAGTGGGGTGAACACTTGTTTCTGTGCCTTTATCAGATGTCAGGACAGCGCGTCGTCCCCCTACCATCCTTTGAAAAGGGCCCATTAGCATTTATTTCTTTCATATCATTGTGAACTCATGGGTTGAATCACATGTGAAGGGTCCAGTGGACTGCAGTTCTGACCCTTTTTGAAGCTCAGTGATAATCGTCCTGCCTGTGGCCAGGGGATCCTCTTCTGGTCAGCACCCACATCCCTTTGATGTGACCCAGGAGTGTTTGGCTGTTGCCTGCCTGTCTGCCAGGACAGGCTGCCGGAAGCCGCATGTTACCAGCCCCAGACCTGGGACCCGACACTCGTCCAGGGAGCCCTGGTTTCTGGTCCCGGAGAAAGCCGTTTCAGGACCATGATCCAGTCAGTAGCAGTGCTCATTCATACCGATTCAGCCACTGTTTATAGATTGTTCAGAAACACAGCTTCATGCTAGTGGTTCTCAAATTCCAGACTACAGATCTTCAGTGTTCTGTAAGACAATGGTGTTTCCTCTCTTGTGGCAGCAGTAAGAGTCCTGGGAATTTCTGGGAAGGTTCTGTGCTGTGTGGGAACAGCAGCCTGCATGTGTGCCCAGCACTCTACTGGGTGCCGCTGGATGGGAAGCAGGGTGGCCTCCCTCCCCGTGGGTCCACAGGGAGGTCCCACCCTGTGTGCTGGAGTGAGCAGGTCTTCTGGGCAGAAGGTCTTAACTGTGCCCTCCCGCTTTCTTCTGGCCTCAAATTGTTGAATCAGTGTCTGAGGATCGTCCTGCCTCGGACACCCTCCAGATTCCTTTCCTTTCTCTACAGCCCAGTGATTGTTACTGGCGATGCCTGGGCGCTGGCCTCTGGGACCAGTGCTCCAGGCATGCTCTCCCCCACATCAAGTCTGTCTTGGGGGAAAGAGCTCATCAGCGTCTATGGCCTCTGCCCCGTCCTGTGATCCCCCTTCCTCCGCCCAAGGGGACTTAGGTCCCAGGTGATTCTCCTCTTGATCTGAGAGCCGCCTTCCCTGTCCACCTCTAGCACTGAGTTAGGTTTGACCTCAAGTCCTTGCAATGCACGGTCTGCAGACCAGCAACTTGGTGTTACTTGGGAGCTTGTCAGGACTGCGGATTCTCAGATTGTTCCCCGGACCCACTTTATAGCAAAGTACCTTAAAACTCAGTGGCTTCAGGCAACAGTCATTGTATATTCTTCATGATCCTTGGTGTCCGGGATTTAGGCAGGGCTCAGCCAGCCCCTCTTTTGTTCCAGCTTGACCTGTTTCCTGCCTTCGCAGGAGTGGAGCTGGGTGGGGGCGCAGAGGTGGTGGGGTGCTGCCTGCGTTGGGTTGGGGGGGTACCTGGCCGTAGTGTGGGGCAGGGGCGCTATGGGGGTGGGGCAGGGGTGGGGCACTGCTCTCCTCCAGCCCACTTCCTTCCGCCAGAAGTCCACACCCAAGTGCACTTGTAATTCCAAGTGGTTTCCAGGATGTTGTCAGTTAGAGTCTAAGTCCCCGATTAAAGTTTAAAAAGGTCTTTCTTTCTCCATGAATATTCCAGAGACTCGTGTTTTGGAGGCTGTTTGCAGTAGGAAGCCCGTGTGTGTGTGTGTGTGTGTGTGTGTGTGTGTGTCCGTCCGTCCGTCCTTCCTGGAGATTTGCTGCAGGGCCCAGTGACAGCCTCATGAGGACATGAGCCTGTGCAGGCCATTCAGTGCAGTCCCCTCATTTTACCAGGGTTTTGAGGGCTTAAAAAATAATAAAGCCAGATGAATAGTTTTATGCCTATGTACTCAAAGCGGAACAATTGATGTTGCAGTTTCCAGAGTGTCTTACATGTTGTGTCTTCGGAAGGATTAAATATAAATTAAAGAGGTTGATAGAGGTGCTCTAGTTCCGAGAAAAAGTGTGGATACCAGTCAAAAAGGTTGATCAAGAAAAGAGAGATTTATTCTTCGTTTTCTTCGAGTTTGTGTGTCTATTTATGTGTATGTGTTAGAATTGTGTGGGTTGTTTTATGTTCTGTTAGCCTGTCCTTACCTGATGGTCACTCTAATAAAGAAGGTAATTAAAGTTATTTGACTTTTTGTTTTCATGTAAGAAGCTTAGGATAGAGTCTGGAATCAGTTGGCTTTGAGAAATCTTGATTTTTGAGGAAGTAAAGTTTCACGATAATTAGCTAATTTTTATATCTGCACCCAAAGCCTTCTTTGACAGAAGGGACATTTTCATTATGTAAATCTAAATCAGAAACAAATTTTAAAGAGTAACCATTTCCTCTAAACATTTTCTTGCTCAGGAAAGAAGACTTCTCAGAGGTTAGTGGGAAGCAGTAGCTGTCGTAATCTTCTCACGGCTTCTGGGGTCACTCTTGTCCTCGCTTCTAGCTCTACGTTCTGTCATTTTGAGGTTTTCTAGTTGTTATTTTGCAAGTGGATCCGATTAGGGTGATAGTAAGCATTTTTACCTACATAACACTGAATATGAATATGTTCACTTTTGGTCACGAATGTGCGAATCAGGAACTTTTAAGAAAGGTTTCCAGGACCAGACTAAGATAGGACCCAGGTTAAATGTCTGCCATACGACGTTACTTCTCTTTCCTCCCCAGGTTCACCCCCATTTCTCAGTGTGGGACTTGTCTCACCCTTGAGCTGAGTTGAGGGCAGATCTCAGTTAACGCTCTTCCTAAGTCACAAGGATGTAGACTTAGTGAGACAGGCCGCTCGTGTCAGTGTTAGAGCGCAGGTGCTGTGAGGGTTAGCGAGCCGTCCACATGGGCAGTCCTCGAAGCTTCCTGCCCGGCTCTTTCTGAGTAAGACTCCAGGGTATTTAGGACTGAAAGTCTGTAACGGCCTGTTAACACAGGGAATGTAGGCGTTTTATTTAAATTTGGTGCTACTTGTACCTTGCTTTGCTTATCCAGTTTTAGTAATGCTCTTTCCTAGAAATCTCAAGTCACAGCACTACTTTTTAAAAAGTTTTGTTTATTTACGTAATCATTGAAGTAATTTAAGATCTCACGACCTTGAGATCAGAAGTCGCAGGCTCTGCTGACTGAGCCAGCCAGGCCCCACTACAGCTCTACCTTAATCACTTTTGTCCAAGTAGGACCAACTAAGATTTAGATGAAAATTTTCTGAAAAGTGGTTGTTTGGGCATCTTACATTTAAAAGAATCTGTGACCTTAAATATTTATTTGCCTGCTTTTCACATGAGTTTATCCTGACATACATATATAAACGTGTAATTAGGAAATCGTTCTATTCTAACTGTTCTTTTATTTTCTGAGTGGTGAGCACTTGGGATTAAAGCACACCATTAAAAGCTGTCAATTTTAACAAGGAAACTCAGCTCAGCCTCTTAGTTTACTTGCTGGATCCAGCATGCAAGGAGAAATAGATAGTAAACTTAGACCAAGCAGAGAATGAATCCTCATTTCAGAAATTCTGGCTTAGGGTGGTATTCTCATGCAGTCCTACAGCTCTGTGGTGCTGTTCTGTAAGACCTCATCCTGCACCCGAGCCCCGCAGAGTACATAGGTCTGTGTAGAAGCTTCGGGACACGACTACACAACCGCTGCCTTCCGGGCCCGGAAAATGGAGGACATGGGCTGTGATCAGCAGCCGGCCTAGGCGGGGAATGTCTGCGTGTCAATGGAAGCACCCTCCCTGGGCTGCTGTGTCCTGACTGCACCCTGAGAAATTTGGAGGGGTCCCGGCCGTCTCGTGTGGCTTCCCTCCGAGCTGGACTCTTCCCGCCCACTGGGAAAACACTGCCTCCCTTCCATCAAGACTGGTTGTTTAACTTGCAGTTCAGCATGTTCTGACACTACCTGATGTGCAAGAACAGTATCCAGGTTGCATCAGTGAGGTTTGAAGAAAGCCTGGTGTATACGGAAATGGGAGTCTTACAGACTGGTGTTAATTAAGGGACAGTTGTGTACGTGTCTGAATAACAAGGCACAGACCGCTTAAAGAGATTTCCCCCAAGTTAGAAGATTAGATCATTCACAGTATCAGGAACGTTCTGTAAGGGGTGGGCCTCGTCTTACTCTTCAGTAAGAGTGCTGAGTTTTACTAAGTGATTACCAGTGCGCTAAGAAGTGGTCATATTTTGTGCAGTGGAAAAAGAAATTGGGATTTATTAACTGCTCTTTCTCTCTTTTTGCCAGATTTAGAAATGGCTGTTGCATACTGGAATTTAGTGTTATCTGGAAGGTTTAAATTTTTAGATCTTTGGAACAGCTTTTTATTGGTAAGTGTCCTTCTGCTTCTTGCTGTGTGTGCCCAGTGTGAAGGGTCAGCACATTGTGTGGCCGCCTGTGTTATCTGACTGGGGGGTTCTGTACCGTGGCTGCCAGGCAGTTGGCGAGCAGCCGCGGGCTTCACCACCGCAAGGAACGGGCAGGGCTACCCAAGGCTGGATTCAGAAGGGCTCCCAGCAGCCCCGCGGGACTCTCAGGCTGGGGTTTCAGATGACCCGCAGGCCTCCCCTTGTCTGCAGAACTCCAACTACCTGGCTCTAGGCTTCCCGAAACAGCAGCGACACACGTCCTGTGAGCTCATACGGGCTCCAGACTGCAGGTTGTATCCCGTTGTCCAGCTTGTCCACAGTCTGATACACTTTAAGATGTGGTTTACGATGCTAACTGAGCAGGAAAAAGGAGGGTTTCGCTGGGCTTCCCTCAGGAGAGTCTCCGAGCTGGAGGGGCCTCCTTGGTGGGGCAGCCCCCGGCCTGGGGGAAGGGAGACAGGCGTCACTGTTTGAAGCATGTGGAGCACCAGGGTCCCCTCCAGAGCAGACAGTCACGTGATGGCAGTGTGCCCACATCTCCCGCATGGACTCCTCTGCGAATGTGTGAGGCCTGGCTGAGGACCGTCTTCCCGCTGGGGGCCGTGCGTGGGGTCCTCCTCAAAGCAGCACGGGGAAGCCGATGTGCAGGTTCACAGCCTGTGTCACGTTTAGTCCGCTTCCACCACTCACTAGTTTTGTGGTCAGTGCTCTCGCTGCGCACGTGCCCAGAGACGGCACCGTGGGGACAGCAGCACGTTGGGGACGAGCACAGAGCCCTAGGCCTGAGAGCGGACAAAAGCCCAAGACTGTCAGTGTGGACAAAGGCTCCCAGAGCACAGTGGAAACAGGTTAATTGAGGCCAGGACGACAGGCGGGGTACGCAAGGAAGGCCGCAGAATTCCACATGTGGTTGGGTGGCTTCTGCGTCATCTGTGAATATACTCGCCTCTGCCACACGCGTGCAGGTGTGGAGCTCTATGCCCAAAGGGGAGGGGTGGGTTGGGGGGAGGGGGCGGAGCCAGCGCCCCTCTGCCCGCTGAGAGTCACAGCACAAACGCGTGTTGTCCACGCGTGTGGCGTACCTGAAATCTGAAAAATGGCCCATCCCACTGCAGGACCCACCTGGCGTGCAGAGAAGTACATGTATCTGGGTGCCACAGGCCGGCTGTCCCACACCGTATGCCAATCGGCTGGGTGTTAGGTGGAGCTTTAAAGCACTGCCCTTGTATTGGAGTGAAACAGATTATAATCTCTATTTTAATGTTTATTCTGCTTTTAAACAAGTCTGCTTTTGTGTATTTGCACATTGGCATCACGTAGCTCCTACCATACCCAGAACACTGTCATTACTTCTGACCACGTGTGATGGTGCCGCTTCCCCATCGCGGTGTGTGCTGAAGTAACGAGGCCGCTGGGATGCCCAAGGGTCACGTCTGTTTCTTAAGTCTGGTGGGTTTTTTTCTCTCATGTATTAGGAACATCACAAAAGATCAATCCCAAGGGACACTTGGAACCTTCTGCTAGATTTTGGAAATATGATTGCAGATGATATGTCTAACTATGACGAAGAAGGTACGGGAAGTTGTAGTGCTTCCGATGATGTCCAGAAATGCTGATGTGCAGACTGCTGGGGGCAGGACGGTGGTGACCGGCTCCAGCTGCCTCTGGGCCCCGCCCCTCAGTGCAGTGGGGGTGGTGGTGATGACAGTATTATCCTCTTTTTATGTCTTGTCAACCACACGAGAAAAATAGGGCTTCGTATTTAGTTTAATTTAGGAGGACAACCCCCTAAATAAACTAAAGCATTTCAAAAGTGGATGTGCAGAGAGCCCTGCGGCAGAGCCGTGGGACCAAACGGGTTTGGAAGCCGCTCTTCCAGGTACGTAATCCTGGGTGGCGCCTTAGGCTAGGCATTCTACCATGTGAAGATTCCAGCTGGTATAACATGATCACATATTCATGGTCCCCATCCTGAGATGTTTGAGGACAGCCTGGCAGGGAGCATGTATGTGCCCGCCACCATGGGCACTGTGCCGCTTTAGGGAAGGACACAGTCTCAGCCTGCCCACTGCATGCTCCCCCAGTGCCCAGCTTGGAGGCGACCGCTCTGGGGCACCTGTGGTGTTGCATGTCTGTGTGCGTCCCCAGCACTCAGCACAGAGCGGGCACTTAATAAACGTGAATAGTTGACCATAGACAGAAGCCCAGGGAGTGTGGCTGTGGTGGCGAGACGTGGCTGGTCTGCAGAGGAGGGGCCGGCAGCTTACAGTGAGTGTGTTCCTGGCCAGCGGGGTTGGGGTGGTCTGGGCTACCTGGGGGTGGTGGGGAGGCTGGGCCTGGAGAGGGAACCGGCCCAGGGAGAAAAGGGTGCAGTGTTTTGCAGGGCAGGTGGAAGGCCCTGTGCCTGGTCCCGACTGTCTGGAACAGGGGCCCGGGCCTTGCAGCCGGCCGGCCCGAGTGCCTGGTCGCTAGAGGCCACGTCCGCACGGGGGCACCAGTGCTGGCCTGGGGTCTGGCTACAGCAAGAGGAATGGATCTCACTGGCAATCCCTCCAGAGAGATGGGCTGTGAGACGACTCACTTGAGCTCCTGAAACACAAATATTGACTGCAGAAAGAATGCTCTGGATATAAAAATACTGCTCTAGACTGGTGAGTTTTTAAAGATCTGTGTTTGCTTTCCTGTAGGAGCGTGGCCTGTTCTGATAGATGATTTTGTAGAATATGCACGGCCAGTCGTGACGGGCGGTAAGCGCCGCCCTTTCTAGGCAGAGAGTGAAGCTGCACGGACACCGAGAGCAAGTGCCTCCTCCCAGGAGCCCTGGCACCCGCATGACCTCCCCCTGCACACAGAAAGGGCTGAGTGGACATGTAAGGAGCTCCTCAGAAGACGCTGCTTCAGGATGTCTGGGGATGGTCCTGTGGCTGCTGCTTTAGGGAATTTCTGCATGATTTTTATCATATTTGTGAAAAAGTCACCCAGAGCCTGTTTGCAGATCTGCAGAGTGTGCGGTTGAATCGGCGGCTCCCGTGAAGGCTCATGAACACACGGCTCGCACAGATCCTGCTGAGCCACGTTGTAATCCTACCTGTGAAACAGTGTCTGTGCCCTTGGTGGGACACTGTATTTCTCTGCAGGCCAAAGCTAGTAGGAATGTGTCCTAAAAAGGATCTGGACACAGATCCTAACACTTTTTAAACTTGCTGCCGGGAAATCAAGACTTCTGTTTTCTGAATTATCAAGCATCTGGATTTATTGGGTCTGTTTTTATTTTAATTTCCCGTAGATGTTCATGTGAACGTGCTTTCACGGTTCCTGACATGTTGCAGTCTGCATGGTGACAGCACCCATCACCATGGGATTCCAGGGACATTTTATCATGTACTGTTTACAAGTCAGCTGGTCTGTCCTGTCCAGTGTCATTTGAATGAGCTTCCGAAAAAGTTCTGTGTAAAGTATGCTTTAGAAAAAAAAAAAAGTATTTTATTACGTTTAAAAAGACATTTTTCCCTGGAAAGTATTTCTTTTATGAGCAACGGATTATAGATTCAGAAATGGAGTGAGTTTGTTCCCTCCGGCCCTCTGCATGGTTGCGCACATTCGGAAGCTACAGTGCACACTGTTACCCGAGATGCCCAGACGGGAAGGTCCCGTCTCATTTACGTCTGCAGTGTGTGGCCGTCGCATTACCATCTGTGAGAGGAGGCCGTCCGGCGAGGCATGGACTCTGCCGTGCTGTCCGATGGTGGAGCCTGTGACGTTACCTGTTCCTCCTGTTGGGAAAGCTCCTGGGTGTTCTAAAAATCACTGTGCAGACCCTGCATTATATTTGAAAAGATCTTCACGTCGCACGTGTGCCTGCTACCCTGTCTGCAGTCCCATTTATGAGACAGATAAACTGGGGTCACTTCACAGGAGAGGAAGTTCACAGTGGACTTTCCGTGAATGGGCAGTGTGCTTAAAATGTGTAGTTTGATGTGACTTTCAAAATTGGGATTCAGCATTTCAGGAAGCTTCTGTGCCCATGGGAGGTGTTCATGTGCTTGCCATGTGTGAACCGTTTATACTTCCAAAGAGGAGTCGTTCAGAGAGGCCACAGGCTGTCCGGGTGGGAAAGGGGGCTTGAGGCCTGCAGACCAGAGTCTGGGCTGGGTTGGCCCCTACACAGATGCACGACTGAGTCCCGCGGTGTCTCCTGGGCCTGTACTTCCCCGTCTGCCACAGGGTCGACAGGCCCGTCTCTGCCTGCCAGCCTGTGGTTCTAAGAGAGCACGCACTTTATGTAATAAAAACCTCAACAGCTTTAAAGCATCCTTCGAGGCTTCGCAGATTCTTGCCGTGTAAGTGTTCACGGAGGAGGCTGTAGGTCTGCGACCCCTCGTTCTTAAGATTCGAAGTTGTGGGAGTGGGGGAGCTTCTGTGCACTTGGTCATCAGTAAATAACGGAACATTAGTGGCCGGACAAAGGCTCTTCAAGATTGCGGTTTCTTCTATTCTATTTATTTAAAGCACGCGTGCCATGAAAAGTGCTAAGAGCTTTGCAAACATTGAAATAAAATATGTTCTCTGGTGTGGCAGTGGCGGTGCACTTGTAACTCTATTCTCGATTGCTCAGATGCTGCTGGATGCCACGGGACCAGCGGGAAAACGGCCCCTCTGGGGACACCCACCCATGTTCAGCCTGCCTGCTCACGTAGATGGCCGCACCCCAATACACAAAGCTTGGCCATTTAGTTTCCTTCTCGTGACCGCATAGTGCATTAAATAAGTATGGTTGTTTGTGTGTGAAGAGTTGTAGCTCTCTTGTAACCGGCAGAATCTCCCGGAGCTGCTGGGAATCCTGCGGGAGGACACATGGACATGCAAACCAGGAATATACAGAGAATACATGAGTCCCCCAAATAGAACAGGCTGAATAAAGACGTGTTACCTGTGTCTCCCGGAGTAGACATGACCCCGTCTCCATCTTGGGGATGTATTCACGTCACTGCTTCACTTGAACTTCGTGCACGTCCAAGTACAACACTCCAGGCCACGTGGGGGGAGGCACACCGTGGTTGGAAGAGCTCGGCCCAGGCTCAGTAAGTGCTGCTGGACAAGGCAGGGACGGTGTGGGGGAGCTGCTGGCCACCTCAGGAAAGGTTTCCATGGCCTCAGGGTCAGCAAGAGAAATGAGCCGGGAACCTCCTCTGCCCTCAACAGTAGCTGTTTCTGCCAAAGGACACTCTTCCACCCACGAAGGGCAGTTGTCTGGATAGAGGGCTGTAGTGTGGACAAGGAGCCGGTGTGCCTCGCCCCCCAGGCCTCTGTGCTGGCTCTGTGTGCTTAAGTGCAGCTCAGTATCTTGTTATTACTGAAAGAAATGTTATTTTTGTCACAGGTGCTTTTTAAGTCCAGGTGTGATGGGGTCCACTCTGGTCTGGTGAGTGACCAGGTCCCAGGGGCCAAGGGGGCAGTGAGGCCCACTAGGGGGACAGTTTCCTAACTCCTGATTCCAAACCCAGAGCCCAGTTTGCACATTCACACGCACCCTAGCCTCCTCCTACCCCTCAGCGTCCTCTCCGGGATCCGGATCCAAATGCGGAAACGAGGCCGGGGGGTGGGGGTGGGGGGGGTGGTCTGAATACGGCTGCCATCTGGAGCCTGGCCACTGGAGAGCACAGCAAGGTGAGAGGGGTCCGTGACACGCCTCCTTGAGGCTAGAGGGGCTTCTCTCCAGTGCACCATGCATTTTCTGAGTTCTCTACCAAACACGTTCAGGCATCAAAAAGTTTCCCAAAAACTAAAACCGTGCACGTAATGGGTGAAACTGCACGCTATGCTGAGTGAGGGAAGCCAGATGGGAAGGCGTCACAGGCTACGATTCTGTCGACTTGAAACGAGAAAAAGAGCTGTCGGGGCAGAGGGTGCAGGAGCGCGGCCTGGGTGTGGGTGGGGGCACGGCAGACGAGACCAGGGGACCCCGGGACCACCGTGCTGTGCGCTCCTCTGAAGCGAGGGTTCCCCGCCCCCTCCCCGCCAGGCGGAGCGCCTTGGAACCCGCGCAGGAGCGGTAGAAAGGCGCGCGCCTTCCAGAACAGCCAAGGGCTCAGGCTTAGAGGTCGCCGCCCCGCGGGGAGGCGTCCGCAGCTGTTGCGGACGCTGACTCAGGCGCGGGCTCCCCGGGTGAGGAGCCGGTGTCGCCGTCCACGTGGCTCCTGTCGGGGCACAGGGGGGCGGAGGGGAGGGCGCCGCCTGCGGAGACACGGGCGCGCCCGGCTCGGGAGCTCCTGCCAGCAGCCAGGGTCGGCGCGGAGTCCGCGGGGCGCACGGAGGGCGGCTCCGCGGGGCCCAGGGGCTGGGCGCTACCCCGAGATGGAGAAGTTCAAGGCTGCCATGCTGCTGGGGGCGGTGGGGGACGCTCTCGGGCACAGAAACGCCCGCAAGGACAGCAGCGCTTCCGGAAGGAAGGTCCAGGAGGAGCCGCGGGCGAGCGGGGGCCAGGACCAGCTGGTGCCGTCCCGGGAGAGGTGGCCGGTGAGTGACAACACCATCATGCACCTGACGACGGCCGCGGCCCTGACCACAGGTAAGCCGACCACCCTGCCCCTCTTACCCTCCCTCCCGGTCCCCAGAGCCCCGCACCGCGGGTGAGCCCCCAGCCCTGTCCCCCATGCCTCCGCAGGAAGGGGGTTTCACACCCACCAGCGTCCCCTCCCTGGCCAGACGGCGCTTCTCACGGTCTGTCTGGGTTATTTTACTCTGAATAGTGACTCTTCATTTGTGTTTGTAAAACGTCTGCTAGGCTGAGCCTGGTGTCTCTAGGGTTAAAACCAGTTAAATCTGCTCTTGGTGGTTTGGGGTGAGGGTTCAACTTTTCACTGCAGATATTAAGACGTCTGATTTTATTTCAAAAGAACATAAAATAATAAGCCCTTTGAAATTTGGATCCATTAAGATAATATTGTTTGAGGATTACTTCTAAATCCCAATGAGCTCAGGCAGAATGCCATCTACCAAAGTAGGATTCAGATGTGCGTGTACACACGAATGTGTCTTGAGACGATGCTGTGGCATTGGCTGGGTGGGGGCGGGGGGCTTCTAGGACCATCCTTCACGTGCCAGCTGATTCTCAGAGAAGCCGTGGGTGTACATACGTGTAGCACAGCTTTCCTGCAAGGTACACGCTCTCCAAAAACCTGTAGGTGTTTTTAGTGTGCCGTTGCCAAATGAAAGTCTGGGGCCACGGCTGGGTAGACGAGGCCTCGTGTCTGGGCCCTTGTGCCCGTCCGAGTCGGCCGTGGGCTCTCTCAGCTTAGCTCTGTGCTCATTCCGCAGGAATGCCGTCCTCGCCACAGCCCGTTCCAAAATAGCTCTGGCGAGGGTGAGGACACAGATAAGATAGCGCCCAGCGCGTGAGGCGGCGAAGTGTCTTTGAGTCCAAATATCCCCAGTTTCCCGGGCTCCCAGGCAGACCCAGCAGTGTGAAATCGCATCCTGGCAGCCAGAGCAGCGATGCCGCCCCCACGAGGGCCTGTCTCTGGACGCAGAACCTGCTGGCTTCCCGAAGCTGCGCGCAGCGGGCCTTCGCTCTCACACCCGCTCCTTCCACGTGTGTCTGATGCCATCCATGTGTCCTCTCCTTGCCCTCGTCTCTTTTGTGAATGGCAGGATCCACGGCCTGTGTCTGCCTGTGTAGGCGCCCAGGACAGACGCCAGCAGGGTCACACAATCCTGACCGTGTCATGCTCTCTGAGATTAGATTGAGCCCTCCTGACAGACATAGGACATCATCTACCCCAGTGCGAAATGTGCATGTGGGGGGCACTGCCTGTGGGAGCACCTCACGTGGGAGCACGGAGAGTGTTTGGGGCATTGTTTCCAAGGAGGGGACCCTGCGCCTCTGGCTGTGGGAAGTGGGGTGCTGGTACACAGCACCCTCTGGTCCGCAATCCACAAGGGGACGTTCATGAAGATGTCCCTAACTTTAGCCTCCAGAAGCACAAGCAGGCATAGTTTTTCAAGTCACTAAAAATACAAGTTGAAATTTTATTTAAATTTAGCTGTCAAACAGCCCAGTTTTTTTCTCTAAATAGCAAATTGTAGCCTAGAGAAGGGGCCTCTGAGCTGCATTAATGGTGATGGCTACAGCCCTGATGTGGCGCCACTCAGGGGCCAGGCGCTGTTCTGAATCTATGTGTACCATCCCCTGGCCCTTGCATACCCTGACGGCTGACACCATTATTACAGTTTTACAGACAAAGGAACAGACACATAGAGAGGTTAAGTAACTTGTCCAATGCCACATAGCCAAGCGAGAGTCTGAGCAGGGACTGGAACCCAGATAACTGGGTTCCAACATGTAAGTTCTTAAGCCCTGCCCCAGCCACCCGCAGTCGCTGGCCACACAACTATTTCGGGGGTCCCAGTGGACAGCGGTTCTCCAACACGCTTTCCAAGGACAGGTAGACTTTCTCAAAGTGAAACTGTGGCGTGGCATTTCCAAGGAAGTCCCATTATTGGGTGCCGTAGGCCGACCAACCGTGTAGCTATGCAGCTGTGCTAGTGTGAGTGTGATGCGAGGACAGGGACAGCCTGTGGGATGTCCTACTTTTGGGAATGAGATCAGATACTGGCTTAGGAAGCAGTGTCCAATACCACACAGGGCGGGGGACAATCCAGTTTGTGCAGCTTGCCCAATGAGCTCGCTGGGCACACCTACCAGAGGCTCCCTTGCATGTGTGGCCCTGTGCCCGTCACCCGAGGATGAGAAGGGGGCTCAGCCACAGGGGCCCCAGAGCCTGGCAGTCCTGGTTCTCCACGGCTCACTGGCCCGAAAACGGCTGACCTTGCTTTCCCTCCTGCACTGTACTTAAGGATGATGACGCCTTCATCATAGGGTTAAGTGAGATCAGGTGGGGCGGCATGGGCACTTAGTAAATTATTTTTTTAAGTTTCTTGATTCATTTTGAGAGAGAGACAGAGCGAGTGCGAGTGGGGGAGGGGTAGAGGGAGAGAGAGAATCCCAAGCAAGTTCCACACTGTCGACGCAGAGCCAGACGCGGGGCCTGAACCCACAAATTGTGAGATCGGGACCTGAGCTGAGATCAGGAGCTGAGATCGACCGAGCCTCCCCGCCCCAGGCACCCCTGCACTTAATAAATTATTAAGGGAAGGTGGCTCATGGCACGATAGTTAATGTCTGTCTTTCTAAATGTCCTGCTCCGAGGACCAGGCGGTGTAGCCTGTCTCTGCAGCAGCACTGGAGGGAGGGGGGCGTTAGCCCATCGGGGCGGTGGCAGATGCCGCGGTCCATAACCCACAGGGGAGTGCAGGGCCCAGCCCATGCTTGAGCAGACCAGGCCTGTCCAGACTCACCTCTCCCTCTTCCTCCATCACTGGCTTGCTGGCGGTAACAGCATTTTGGAAAGTTGACTTTTTACTACAAAGCTACTCGATCTTGCTATGCTGCCGTTTCTTTATGGTGACATTGGTTGGGAGACACAAAGGGTTTTTGTGAGCAGATCTCTCTTAGGAGACTGGGTGGTGAGGGCAGAGAAGAATGAGCTGACGAGCCGTGTCTTCAAGCAGAGAAACCTTGGCAAGAGGCTCCTTGGCCCCTGCAGCTTTGCAAAGTCTGCTTCTCGTTTAAATTCGAACTGGACACCCACAGAAGAATGTTGACATTTTGTTTTTAAGGAGTTTTTTCCCCCTTTAGAAGGATGTGATTCCAGAATAAAATGAATTATTTGAGAGGGTCTGGAAAGGCCAGGCTCACTAACCGTGGACTGAGTCAAGAAGGTTTTGTAACGGGTGCTGCTGGCGCCCCAGGGCTGAGTGGATCCCAGTGGCTCACGGGCCCCGCACCTCGCAGAGCCCATGCCTCCTGCGCTCGGGTCTGGCCGCGCACTCTCTGCCTCTGCTCAGAACCCAACCACGCGGGGCATAGAAGCAGGGACAGAAGGACTGAGGACCAAGTCCACCCTCCAGGGCATGAGGGCCCACCTGCCCTAACGGCTGCAGGGACGGAGGCCTTCATCCCAGATGATGGAGAGACTTGGCAAATGCACCTCCCTCCCCTCCACAGTGGGACCCCGACCCTGGGCGCCTAATGAGAAGACCCCTCTACTGCCTGCTCATAGCTCCAGCGGCCTGAGAGGGGGTCTCCCTGCCCCCTCCCGGCCTCCTCCCCTCCTCCAGAGCCCCCAGAGTTGGGGTATGTGCCCCGAGCAGTCAGGGGCAGTCCCAGCTCCTGAGGCCTGAAATGCAGATTGGGTACAGAATTAGTCTGTTGGTGGCTGTTAAGAGTCACATCGTGGGGCGCCTGGGTGGTTCAGTTGGTAGACTGATTTCAGCTCAGGTCATGATCTCAGGGTCTTGGTTTTGAGCCCTGTGTTGGGCTCTGCGCTGATCATGGAGTCTGTTTCAGATCTGTGTCTTCCTCTCTGTCTGCCCTGCTCATGCGCTCTCACTAAAACAAAAAAGGCACACTGGAAACGCCCAGTATCTGCCCAGCTGGCCTGGCACAGTGACCCTGTCGCCACCAGCCCTGCTCTCTGATGGAACGAGGCAGATTGGACCCCAAATTTGGAGTTAGGTGTCCTCTAGCTCTTGCTGTGCATTACTTTAATGATAGAAATGCTCAGGCCTGCCATCGGACTCTGTTTACCATCTCCGGCCTTGGGCAAGTTGCGTAACCTAACCCCCGGAGCCTTCCCTGTAAAACCCACCGTGACAGATAAGAGCCTGACGGTATCGGGGTGCGGCACCCCAGACTGCAGGTGGCCAGTGCGTCAGCTCCTCTGCCCTCCATGCCTGTGATCCTCAAGGAGCTTGAGACATGCTTGTCCCCAAACGCTGTCACACACAGTGTGGTTTGGACCAATCAGTGCCTGGTGGGGCAGCGCAAGGGGTTTCCAGGAGCGAGAGAGGGGGTGGAAATGGGAGGGGCTCAGCCGCGTGGAGGCGTGGGTCTCCAGTAGCCCGAGGACCAGGCAGATTTCAGGCCAGCTTGTCGTCACATGGACAGAACCTTTAGCAGGGAATGAGGGTTGTGGGTTTTTCTAGATTGTCCTGTGCAACCAGAGTATGAGGCACATACACCAACTCTAATTAATGTCTGACTTCTGAATAAAATCTAGAGTGAATTGTATGCACTCTGCACTGGTCTAGGAGCCAGGATTGTGGGGGGGCTGTGGGGGGCCTGGGAGACTGTGGGGGACTCTGTGAGACAATGGGGGGACCGTGGGAGACTGTGGGGGAATGTGGGGACTTTGGGGGACTCTGTAAGACTGTGGGGGACCTGGGAGACTGTGGGGAACTGTGAGAGCCTGTGGCGGACTGTGGGGGACTGTGGGAGCCTGTGGGGAACTCTGGGAGCCTACAGGGGACTCTGGGAGACTATGGGAGACTTTGGGGGGCTGTGGGAGACTGTGGCAGACTGTGGGGGACTCTGTGAGATTGTAGGGGACTATGGGAGCCTGTAGGAGACTGTAGCGGACTGTGGGAGCCTGTGGGAGACTATGGGGGACTGTGGGGGACTGTGGGAGACTATGGGGGACTGTGGCAGCCTGTGGGGGACTGTAGGAGCCTGTGTGGGACTCTGGGAGATGGTGGGGGACTCTGGGAGCCTGTGGGGGACTATGGGAGCCTGTGGGATAATGTGGGGGACTGTGGGGGGCTGTGGGATAATGTGGGGGACTCTGAGAGACTGTGAGGGACTCTGGGAGACTGTGGGAGACTCCGAGAGCCTGTGAGGGGCTGTGGGAGCCTGTGGAGAACTCTGGGAGACTCTGGGAGAATGTGGGGGACTCTGGGAGATTGTGGGGGACTGTGAGGGTCTGTGGGAGCCTGTGGGGGACTCTGGGAGCCTGTGAGAGACTCTGGGAGCCTGTGGGGGACTCTGGGAGACTGTGGGGGACTGTGAGGGGCTGTGGGAGTCTGTGGGAGACTCTGGGAGCCTGTGGGAGACTCTGAGAGACTGTGGGGGACTATGAGGGGCTGTGGGAGCCTGTGGGGGACTCTGGGAGACTGTGGGAGCCTGTGGGAGACTGTGGGAGCCTGTGGGGGACTCTGGGAAATGGCGGGGGACTGTGGGAGCCTGTGGGGGACTGTGAGAGCCTGTGGGAGACTCTGAGAGACAGTGGGGGACTCTGGAAGACTGTGGGGGACTATGGGGGCCTGTGGGAGCCTGTGGGATAATGTGGGGGACTGTGGGAGCCTGTGGGGGACTCTGGGAAACTGTGGGAGCCTGTGGGGGACTCCATGAGACTGTGGGGGATTGTGAGCCCCCTCTCCTCCACCGCCTGCATCTCTGTTGTCCCTGCTGGGTTGGGGGCTGACCAAGTAGCCCTCCTGCCTTCTCAGTCTAACCCTGCCTTTTCCTCCCCAGACTACTGGTGCCTGGATGACCTTTACCGAGAGATGGTGAGGCGCTACGTGGAAGTCCTTGAGAAGCTTCCAGAACATTGGGCTGACCCAGCTACCCTGGAAGGCTGCTCACAGCTGAAGCCGGATAACTATCTCCTCGCCTGGCACACGCCTTTCAACGAGAAGGGTCAGGGGTGCTGTCTTTTCCCTGTAAAGTGCATGCTGGAGCGTGGCCTGGACACTAACCCACGTGTCACCCCACTAACCTGCAGGTCTGCGTGACACAGAGGGACTTGCCGGGGCTTCCACGTAGAGGACGCCGGCCTCCCTGATGGTGTGACACCAATCTGGGGTTCGTTTTAAGGAATATATTCAACTGCTTTCCCTCTAAGTGGCTATTTTTTGCCAAATAATCAGGAAAACTTACACAACTAGCATAAATGTCTATCTCCAGGATGCTTTGATGTGCTGATGTATTTACGTAGCCAGAGTCTCTGCCCTGGAGGTCCAGGACCCCCTGTCTGGGTTTATACTGAGGATTGACACCCCCCCAGGGTTTATAAGGAGGATGGACACCCCCCAACCTGAGTTTATACCGAGGATAGATCCCTGAGTTTCTCAATGCGTTAGCTGAGATTAACAGCACATTGCACATTTCAGAAGAAAAATTTAATGGGTTTGAAGGCACGACAATAGGAACAATCCAGAATGGGACACATGTAGAGAAAAGAATCCAAAATCATGAAAAGAGCCATGGACGACTGCTGCATCCTAACATGCCCGTAACAGGCTCCCTGACAGCGTGCAGGGGAACAAAAAAAGATTTGAAGAAATAGTGGCCCACATCTCTCCAAATGTGATGAAACTGTAAACCCACAGATCCAAGAAAGTCAGGAACTTCCAAGCACAAGAAACGCGGAGAAAACTACAGTATGGCAGCTGGCAGTCAGATTGCTCAAAACTAACAATCAGGAGAGAGACGTGTGTTCTGTTGCTGACTGCCAAAGTGAGGAGGGTGCTCTTGTCAGAAGTGACGCACGGAGAGCTCGTGGGCAGTGTCACTGAGGCACAGAAGAAAAACTACTTCGCCCCAGAGTGCTGCCTCCAAAAACGTTTCTTAGACAAACAGTGGCCAAATAGCCTTTCCAGGCAAACAAAAGCTAAAGGATTTGTCACCCGGAGAGCCACATGGAGAAGGGCTAACGGAAGTCAGTCCCTCAGGCAGCAAGAAACCAACATGGAACAGAAATCCGGGTCTGTGCAAAGAACTTGGATGGAAATCCTAACTATGTGGGTAAATACAGAAGAATTTTTAACTTCCTATTGAAATCTCTTTGAAAGATAATTGACTTGAAAATGATGAGGTACTGCGGGTTTATTAAATGCTATGAGCAGGTGTCTGACACTACCTTATGGAGGCCGGTTGGGAAGGGTGGCGGTGTGAGGTGGGCTGTGGTAAGTGTAAGTCCCAGGCAGACACTCAAAACCCCAGAGCAACCACTAATACAACAAAACAGTTATAACTAATAAGCGAAGAAAAGAAAAGTGGAATCATTTAGAACTATTTGCTGGGGAAGCAGTGCCCCGGGCTGCGTCATCCCGTCGGGGGGAGACAGGTGCGAGGCTGTCCCTTGGCCTTGGATTCTTCCCCCTCATCAGGAGAAACCGTCCCTGTCTTCTAGGCATGCAGTGACCTTCCCTGTAGTGCTTAAGCATGAGCACCACACGACCCCAGCCAACCCCGCAGGGGGAGCCACCCCACAAGGGAGAGCTGCAGGCTCTCGTTTCCCTTGCAGCACGAGGGGGTGTGTGCAGCATCCCTGCCCCACCTCGGCTGCAGGAGGGGCCACTGCCATGGGAGACCAGAGCAAGCTACCAACGCAGGTCTCCCTGCGAGGCTTTGTTTCCTGGAAGGAAGTGCTACCCCGTGTTGCGTCCCTGTGTTATGTGCCCCCCCACCCCACCCCCCGCCGGGCAATTCCAGACGGGAGAAGTTGCAGCTGCCGAGGTCTGAGGGTCTGAGGGCTCCTTCTCATGGTGGTGGGCGCCATCCTCCACCTTCCAACTTCCACACGGTGGAAACCTTCACATGGGATGGGCAGCTGCCCTCACTGTTGGATAACATTGAACCCAAAATGGGCAGAAAAGGGGACAAATAACAGGACAAAAGACTTGACCCTGATCACATCAAATGTAAATGGTCTAAAGACTCCAAATAGATGTCAGGGACTCCAATGGGATAAAGAAACGAGTCCCAACTCTAGGTTGTTCACAGGATGTGCACTTTACATATGAAGGCACAGGTAGGTTAGGGAGAGAAGAGGTTCACCATGCCAACCCCAGTCAGAAGAAAGCCAGCGTGGCTCCATTAACATCACAAAAAGTATGTTTTGGAGCAAAGAATGTTGCCAGGGGAAAAGAAGGCAATTTCATGACACATGCATCCATTCATCAGGAAGACGTACCAAACCCAAACATTCCTGTACTGACAACAAGCCTTCACAATATGTGAAGCTAAAACCAGTAGAACAGCAAGAGAAATTGACAAACCCAGAGTTGTGGGCAGAGATTTCCATATTAAGGTCTCAATATTCACATTAAAAAACTAGAAAACTGGGGGTGCCTGGGTGACTCAGTCGGTTAAGCGTCCAACTTCAGCTCAGGTCATGATCTCACACTCCGTGAGTTCGAGCCCCGTGTCGGGCTCTGTGCTAACAGCTCAAAGCCTGGAGCCAGCTTCGGATTCTGTATCTCCGTCTCTCTCTGCCCCTCCCCTGCTCATGCTCTGTCTCTCTCTGTCTCAAAAATAAATAAAAACATTAAAAAAAATAAATTAAAAAAAAAACTAGAAAACTGGGGGTGCCTGGGTGGCTCAGTCGGTTAAGCGTCTGCCTTCAGCTCAGGTCATGATCTCACACCCCATGAGTTCGAGCCCCACGTCAGGCTCTGTGCTGACAGCTCAGAGCCTGTAGCCTGCTTCGGATTTTGTGTCTCCCTCTCTCTCTGCCTCTCCCCTGCTCACACTCTGTGTCTCCCTCTCTCTCTGCCTCTCTCCTGCTCACACTCTGTCTCTCTCTCAAATATAAGTAAACATTTAAAAAAAATGTTTTTTAAGGAAACTAGAAAACAAAGGGCAAATTAAACCCAAGGGAAACAAAAGACAGGAAGTAATGAAGGTCAGAGTGGAAGTCAATCCCACAGAAAACAGGAAAACAGTAGAGAAAATTAACAAAACCAAGAGCTGATTCTTTGAGAAGATAAAGAAATTGATGAAGCTGAAGCAAGACTGATCAGGACAAAGGAGCAGAAAGTACCAGCACCAGCAGCGGACGGGCAACCTCCCGCAGATTCTACAGAAAATAAGGGAATATATTAAAAATTTTGTTCTAATAGATATCACAACTTAGATAAAATGGACAAATTCCTTGCAGGACGGAAACTACCAAAGGTCGCTCCAAAGGAAGGAGAGCATCTAAACAGCAAGACACAAAGGAAAGCCCAGGTTCAGATGGCCTCCCTGGGGACCCTACCACACCTTTGAAGAAGAGACATACCGAGGGCACACAGCTCTCCAGGGAGCCGAGCGAACACACACTCCCCAAACCCGCTCTGCTCTCCAGGAGGCCGTTAAGAAGAATAAAACGGTGAATTACAGAGTGGGAGAAAATATTTGCAAAGTACACATCTGATAAGTACCCCGAATGTGTAAAGAACTCTTAAAAGAAAGCTAACAACCAGTACAAACACGAGAGAAATATTTAAACAAACAATCCCCCAAGGAAGATGCCTGTGGCCACCTGCTCAACACCATCCGTCGCTGGGAAAATGAAGCCCAAACGAGACATAGCGCTGCATGGGCTGAATTTGAAAGGCGGACCGTGAAGTGCCACCCGGGACACAGAGGGCCCGCCAGTGGGACGTAGAACGTGATGACCACTTTGAAAGCCAGTTCGGCAGCTCCTTAAACGTGACCGAAGTGATCCACTCTGAGGTGTCTGCCCAAGAAAGCATATGTCCAAACAAGGACTTGGTCATGAGTGTCCATGGAGTTGTCTGTGATAGCCTCCGGCCGGAAACAACCCAAGTGTGCAGCAGCGGGTCAGTGGCCAGACCGGCGGTGGCCCCTCCACACAGCAGTCTTGCTGCACCAACACGGAGGAGTGTCAAGAGGGTTACCCTGAGTGAAGGCAGCCAGGTAAAAACGACTCTATGCCGCATGATTCCACTTACATAAAACTCTGGGAAATGCAAACTGGCCTGCAGAGTCAGGCCAGTGGCCGCTGGGAGGCCGGGAGGCACAAGAAGACGTTCGGAGTGACTGCTGGATACGCTCACCATCTCTGCTCAGGGCTTCGTGCACGCACCGTGTGTTCACACTCACTGCCTTGCACGCCTGGAATGTGTGCAGTTGATCACGTGTCCCTTATAACTCCACGAAACGGTTTCTAAAAAGAGAGCACGTGCGATTACAGACACCTCGTCTGCTTTCCCAGCAGCAGTGCACGGCCGTCGAGAATTCTGTGTTAGTGCCTAACTAACTTTCCAGTGCGGGTGCTTTGCAGTTTGTTTGATCTGTTTTCCTTTGTCAGGCATCTGGGTCGCCTGCTCCTTTTTCACTCATTTAAATGATGCTGCGATAAACGTGGGACTGCACGACATTGTGTACATTTTCAGGACATTTGTGAACATTAGATCGCTGTTCTCTGCTCCCTGCAGGCTCAGGGTTTGGAGCTGCCACCAAAGCCATGTGCATCGGCATGCGGTACTGGAAGCCGGAGCGCCTGGAGACCCTTGTGGAAGTGAGCATCGAGTGCGGCAGGATGACGCACAACCACCCCACAGGTGAGGCCGTGCCAGCGGCGCCCTCGCCCAGCGGGTGTGCGGAAATCCTACCCGCTGTTCCGTTGCCTTACTTGTTGTCGGACTTGGGCTTTTCAGTCTTCGGTTCTGCTTAAATGCTGTTTTTGCCCTAAAAGCAGGATTGGGGATGAGCTTGGAAAGACTCTCCCTGGTTTCGGTGCCAGGCATGTCAGAATAAAGGCAAAGCACCAGCTCTCCAAGCAAAGCCATGGGAACCCGAATTTCTATCACACGTGTTGGGCACTGCTTGCTGCCCAGTGCCGTGCCCGGCGGGGGCCTGAGCCAGACTGTGTGAGCTGGAACACCTAATCGTCATGCCTTTCTTCCCCTCTCCCCCCACCCCCCGTAACAGGATGGCCGTGCGTGAGGAGAGAGTGTCCGTATGTCCCTCACACAGGGAGGGCAGGCGGGGGCCCCAGCACCTGACTCAGAGTCATGACTTAGAAGGGCAGTCAGCTTCTAATTTTAAATAAGAAGAATCGCTTGAACGTCTTACTCCTGTAGGTGGAAGGCAGGCGCACGCCCTCCCCAGGCCAAGTCCAGAGGCTGCCAGCTGCTCTCTCACAGCTGCTCCCCTCTTTCAAGGCCACTTTCAGTGTCCACTGTTACTGGCGTGGCCCTGAGGTTGCAAGGGCCATGCCGTGCCACCCCCCCCCCCCGGGGACACCCTCGTTTGACACTGGGTTTGAGAACTGGACACTCACTCCACCTGTATTGATGCCTTACAGTGGCCAGAAGCCACTGAGAGCATCTCTCGAGATGGCCGTGCCTCTTCCTGGGTGGACGTGGTCTTTGTGTGGTTGTGTGCCTCAGGCTGGCCTGGTGGTCGCTCCCCTGTGCTTAGAACCATCTGTCCCCGGGGCACCTGGGGGCTCAGTTGGCTGCATGTCCGTCTCTTGATGTCAGCTCAGGTCATGATCCCAGGGTCGTGAGTTCAAGCCCCGTGCTGGGCTCTGCACTGGGCATGAAGCCTGCTTAAAAAAAAAAAAAAAAAAAAAAAAGAGCAGTCTGTCCCCACAACAAGCCTTGCTAGGGGGGTGTGATGTGCCTGTGTGCAGGAAACAGAAGGCAGAGCCCGGGAAGCGCCAGCCCAGGACCCTGCACCTGCCAAGGGTGCATCTGGCACCCACATGCCCTTGTTGTGCCCTCCAGGCTTCCTCGGGTCCCTGTGCACGGCTCTGTTTGCGTCTTACGCTGCGCAAGGAAAGCCACTGGAGCAGTGGGGCAGAGACATGATGCAGACGGTCCCACTGGCAGAGGAGTATTGTAAGAAGACCATCCGGCACCTGGCAGGTGAGCCCGACCTCTCTTCCCATCACGCCCGAGCTGACAGCAGAAAGGCTGGTGTCATTCACTTAGACCCGATTCCCAGAGAGCTGGAGGTCTGTTGGTCCCGTGGTGAAACCTAGAGCATCCCCATGTGAGCAGGCTGACCCACAAAGCAGGCCCAAGGCGTCCCCGGCAGAGGGCCTCCTGGCCAGGAGACCCGGCGCAATGCCAGTGCTGCTCCCCCGCCCTGGCCTCTGCAGGGACCCCACCCTCCCGCTCTCTGACGGCATCCGGGTCGCTGTTCCGGGTGGTCCTTGGTCGTCCATTCCCCAGACACACGAGGTCTGCACTGCTCCCCACTGTGGCCAGCTGCCATGAAGGCCACACAGGGGTCTGTGCCCCCTGGGGACATCTGCATCCAGGAACGTCTGTCTGTTCCTGGTTATCCCAAACCCATCAAGCGGCTTGCACCCTCTTTGGCCACCGGTGAGGTGTCCATCAGCTGGTCCGGCAGAGGTCCTAGGGGACCTTGATGTTGCTGGCGGCCAGGTGAGCAGTGGCTTCTCAGCAGGCTCCTCCCCCACACGGCCCGGAGCGGACAAATGCGAGAGGCAGGTGGGGGACTGGGAGACCCGTGGCTTCCTCCTCAGGCAGCTACGCTCCAGAAGGTTCTTTCACCCCTAGGAGGGACAGCCCAGGGGCATGTCTGGAGTAAAGCCATTTGTCACAGGCAGAGGGAGACGAGTGTGAGTGAGGTAATGGGGCCGTGGGCTTTCTGGGCAGCCCGAGGCTGTGGTCTTGAGACGGGGAACCAATCAGTGAATCACTTTCCTGTCACCATCTGACAAGCAGGGACTCATTCTAAGTGCCTCTCAAGAAGCTTCTAGAACAACTTTAGAAGGAGATAGCGCTGGGAAACTCTTATCCACAGGGCCCGGCTCCCATGAGAAGCGGAGAGCCTTGTGCCCACAGTGAGCTTACACGTCCCTCTATAAACTTAATTATAGAACATAGCGCCACACTGGCCGTATTTTCGACTGGTTTAAGTCACTCCTGCCTCAGGCCTCTGGAAGGGTTGGGGCTGCCTGCGGTCACTGGGTTGTGAGGGTCACCTCCTCCCGCGGGAGAGATGGGGACACACGGCTACTGTGGGCCATGCAGTGATTGTGCTTACGCGGAGTCGGGGATGCTCCTTGGACAGGACGGGGAGGACAGGCATTGGTCAGAAAATTGGAGACTTTATTTTTCTGTTTAACTTTAAATGTGTTTAACCTGGAGTTTTATGACCTATGACACATGCCAATTCTTTTAGAGTTTATTTATTTTGAAAGAGGCAGAGCAGGGGAGGGGCAAAGAGAGACAGAAAGAGAATCCCAAGCAGGATCCACACTGTCAGTGCAGAGCCTGACACGGGGCTCGAACTCACAAACCCCGAGATCATGACCTGAGCTGAAATCAAGAGTCAGATGCTCAACCAACTGAGCCACCCAGCTTCCCCAGACACATGCCCTTTTTTTTTTTTAATTTTTTTTTTAACGTTTATTTATTTTTGAGACACAGAGAGACAGAGCATGAACGGGGGAGGGACAGAGAGAGAGGGAGACACGAATCGAAAGCAGGCTCCAGGCTCTGAGCCATCAGCCCAGAGTCCGACGCGGAGCTCGAACTCGCGGACCGCGAGATCGTGACCTGAGCTGAAGTCGGACGCTTAACTGACTGAGCCACCCAGGCGCACATGCCCTTTTTAACAGAAACCCAAATCGTCCAGAGAAAGCAATGTTCTATTCCTGCAGGGCCTTCTGCTTAGTGGTGACAATGTCCATTGGCAGTAAGGACAACTGGCAAATTAGTTCCCTGTCTTCACCCTTGGACGTCTCGTTCCAATGTTGGTGGCCCACCTGCTTGGGAGACAGGCCACGGTGCACTGGCAGAGCCCTGTCCCTGCCCGCTGCTTCCCTCACTTTCTGTCATCTTGCCTCAACCTTAGGTAGGCTCTGCTTTTAGTTTTGTGAAGCACAGTCGGGCCAGCATTTCCAAGGGCCTGTGGTTCCCACAGGACCGGGAGCCTTGTCCCGGGGCCTGTCTGGGGCCTGCCTGCAGCCACCGGCTGGTCCCCTGGAGCTCTGTCCTCTGCTCCTGCCCACGAGCAGACCTCCTGAACCGGGGCTTTCCCACGGGCACACCGGGCCCCCCTCAGGACCAGGCTGGCAAGGAGGCCGCCACGGCGGGAGGGCTGAGCAGGCGCTGGTGCCTCCCGGGTTCTCGGAGGGCAGAGCACGTTCCTACATCTGTGTCCGAGGAGCTGCCGCTCAGACCCCACGTGACGTGGGCAAGTCCTTCCTCTGGGGCTGGCACGCCAGGCGACAGGCAGCGAGAAGGAGACACCCTCCGCCCCCCTTTGCAGGCTGTGTCGCTTCGGTGAGAAGATACAGGGTCAGAGCTTTCAAGACAATATGCTCTTCTAAGGACCATAGTCCCTGTTTCTCGGTTGCTTTGTCCCCCACTCCCAGCTTCCTCACTCTTGTTCCAAAGCGGCCTCTGTCCTGTGCCCCCTCACCAGGCTCGGCCCCCGTCTCCTGCCTCTGCCCCTGCCCCACCGTCCCCGCGCCCCGGCTGGTGGCCCTCGTGTGCAGCCCACCCTGTTGTTTGTGTTTAGAATACCAGGAGCACTGGTTTTACTTTGAGGCAAAATGGCAGTTTTACTTGGAGGAGAGAAAAATCAGCGAAGATACGGGAAGTAAAGCCACCTTCCCTGACCGCTACGACGCGGAGGAGAGAGAAAAGGTAAGTCTTGCTGTGCCCAAGTGGTGGGGACAGCAGCTGGCAGGGTCCTGCTGCCCGGGGTCCCCACCGAGAAGCCGCTGCAGCTGGGCTGTTTCTGCCACCTCTAGAGCCTGGGCTGGGGGCTCCCCCGGCAGCAGCAGGGGGCCTGGAAGACTTCCTGGAGGAAGCATGTGTGAAACAGAGTACTTCATGTTTTCATTACCTCATTATAAGCACGGCATTGCTAGAAGACACTCGGTTTCACTTCGTTGTTTCCTAGGCACCGGGGCATGAAGTTGTATCCGATGAGTAAGGTCATGCACATGTGCACACCACTGTCATTGCTCATGTTGGGAGAGCTGACTAACGTTGTCGGCATCAGGTTTGGTAGCACAAGAGAAAACCCCGAGTCTCTGTGGCTTAGCCATGATAGAAACTTATTTGCTTATGTCCCCGGAGCCCAGAGCTGAGCTGGAAGTCGCTTGCAGTGAGAGCCGAGGACACGTCTGTGTGGCCGCTCTGCCATTCTGAGTGCACAGCTTATAATCCACGCTGGCTGCTCTGGCTCCAGCCAGCACATCTGCATTCCAGGTGTCGGGAAGGTGCAGGGGGAGAGCAGGGGCCCACCCTTCCTCCTCAGGTGCTTCCCACAGCCCCTCTGTGTACCTCCACATATCTCCCTCGCCTCCCCTTGGTGCTGGAAGGCCCAGGCATGTGATCCTTAACAGGGAGGTGCCGCTGTCCCCAAACCAACGCTGAGTCTGCTGCTAAGGCACAGGGGGGTGACCTTCCAGCGTCCACCTTACAGGCTTTCTGCTCGTGGCGCACCTGCAGGGTGTCATTCTGCACCTCCAGCCAGCCTTGGCGCCCACTCGCCCCGTGCCCTGCACAGACCAGGGGCGTGTGTCCTAACAGTCTCAGCACTGGCTCTCGGTCCCTTGCTGGGTGCTGACTCTCCCACAGACTTTTTGACTACCCTAACATGGGCTCGGGTTTTCTCTGTGGAGTGTCTGCATCCACAGGAGCCTCAAGAAGTGGGTCTTTCCTGCGCACCATCACCCCCAGCCCTGGGGCAGTGCCTTCAACACAGGTGAACTCCGGGAGCACGGGCTCCAGTGCAAAGCAGCACTGATTTTCCTGTGGCCACATATGCCCTGACCCCTGGCTCTTTGTTCTAGGCTTACCGGAAATGGAGCTCTGAAGGCCGAGGGGGCCGGCGGGGCCATGATGCCCCCATGATTGCCTACGACGCTCTCTTAGGAGCTGGGGACAACTGGACAGAGCTCTGCCAGCGGGCCATGTGTCATGGAGGTGAGATTGCTTTCTTTGATGTGCGACCAGCACCCCCTTCCCACCCCGAAGCACCTGCCCAGGATGTCCGGATTCTGACCCCCCAGGATGTGGGTCCTTCTCTGGGCATGGTGCTGCCTCTGGTGGCTGTGCCAGTCTGAGCTTGAGAGAAATGGCATCCGGGGAGCAGGGTGTGGGCCCCCTCTCCTTCGAGGCCACTGGGTCCTGCTGGTACGGGCCGTGCACAGTCCCACGGACTCTGTAGCCAAAGAGAGCTCTGCAGCACTTTGGATCGCTGGCCCCAGGTTCGAGCCCTCGGGTGGTGGCCGGGACTGTCCCAGGGCCGGGCAGGATTGCTCCCTCCTGGTGCCCACTGTCCCCCGCAGATGTAAAATAAGGGGACCCCAGGCAGACGTCACCCCGTGCTGGGCACAGAGTATCTGTGGACATCGGAGCCCCTCAGTTCCTGGTGCTGAGGCGGTAGAGACGCCAGCACCACCCCACAGACGAGGTCCCTGAGCGCCCAGGCCCCAGGACAGCACGGGCATCGGCACACGCTCACGTGCATCCGGCTGTGCGAGGAGGGAGGGAGCTGCCCAGAGAGGTCCCTGAGACGGGCCCCTGGCAAGAGGGTCTGTGGGTGACAGTGCACAGGAAAGACCCACAGGCTCCGGCAGCACAAGGTCCCGGGGCCCCTGAGGACCTGTGTTTCCGTTCCAGGCGAGAGCGGGGCCACAGGGACTATCGCGGGCTGCCTGTTCGGGCTGCTGCACGGCCTGGACGCGGTTCCCACGGGCCTATACCAGGACCTGGAGCACAAGGAGGAGCTGGCACGCCTGGGCGAAGCCCTTTACCGCCTGTCCACTCAGGAGAAGTAAAGCTCTCCCGCCATGTCCCTTCAGGGAGCCGCGTCCAGCTCTGGGCGCCCCGGGGTCCATGTGCTGGCCACGGCCCTCCTGAGCGTGCGACACGCCTGATCGGCCATAATCACACTCTTAACTCTTTCCTCCTGATTTCAGAGCCCTAACTGCCGAACGAAATGCCCTGTTTGTCCTTCGAGAATGTTTGTCCTTCCCTAACCCAGACCCAGAGCCTCTTGCGGGGTCTGCTACCCACAAGCCTCCACACACAGTGGCACAAACAGTCTCCGGGACAATCAGCGTGCTTCACTCTGTGCAAAACTAATGCTGCTCGCTCACTCACGCCCACACAACTAACCACGACAGCTGTGCTCGGACGCGTGACCCGGCGGCCACCTTGAGGGCAGGGCCGCCGGCACCGGGCCTTGTGAAGCAGCGAGAGAGAGCACGGCACTTCGCCGCATGGCCAACGGTTTTTAATCACACTAGATCTTTAAAACCAAACCCTTCTGGAACAAGTGACAGAAAACCAGGAAATAAAGGGCTCTTGTGTGACACCCGCATCTTCTGTGTGGTCTGAGCCAGGTCCCGGGGGCAGGGGAGCCCCCCCAGACTCGCTGCTGAGGGCTCGGGGCCGTCTCTGTCTGTGAGTCTTGGATAAGAGAGCACGCTCTAGTTAAAAATAACCTTGGACACGGTCCTTTCCAAGGAGCATCTGGTGTGAATAAAAGAGCAGTTGGTATTTCGTGTTTAACACAGCGCTTTGGCGGCTAGGCTGGGGCCGGCCCCCGGCGGCAGCGCTGTTTCCACGGAAGGCTGCCTCTGAGCAGGCCGGTGGACCCCGGAGCCCCCGGGCTCACTCCCTCGCTTCTCAGGTCTGCACGAAGGCCTCCAGTGGGCGGCTCACAAGGAGGCCTTCCTGAATAACAACTAACCTTTGCTGCTGCTGGTGCTTTTCAGCGGGAAGAGCCAGACACAGGGCGGCCCCGGCTGGGGGGTGGGGGCGTGGACCAGCCCACTCCCGCAGGAGCCCAGGCCCCGCAGAAGTAGGTGGGTGCTGTCCCAGGCCAGGGCCACGGCCGGGCCCCAAGAGGGCTCCTTGGTCTCCGTTAGGAGGAATCCATCCTGGAGAATCAGGAAATGGGTCTGCTTACTGGTGGATTATAAAACATAAACAGTCACAGGAAGCACTGGACTGTCTCCACCTCACTGTCCTGCTGTAGAGAAACACAAGCACTGACAGAAACAGAACCGTGACAAGTGACGAGGTGAACGCATCTGTGATTTCGTGTTTATTGTAAAGGAAACACGCACACGGCCTTAGAGACTTGTCGCCACATGTGCTGGTGGGTACAGAGCAAGAGGCCCCAGTGCCCAGCCAGGGTCGTGCCCCCCGGGCCCCTCGAGCACCCCTGGAAGCTGTACAAGCGGGGGTCTGCACGGTGCGCTCGGCGCTGTACACGCACACGCCCTTCCCAGCTGCTGGCGATATTCTACCTGCTCGCGAGCCCTAACACATGTGACTCAGTGGTTCCCACTTCTGAAGTGACTGCTCCCGACTCGGCACATCCGCTGCAGGTGTGGGTCCTCATGTAGATGGCATCCCGGCTGGAGCGGCACCTGGAGACCTGGGGTCAGAGGCCACGGGCTTGAGACAGCAGCCCCCATCACTAGGGAAGGGTTTGCACTCTGGCAGCCCCCGTGCCCACTGAGACAGGCACCCATGGGGGACGGGGACAGGCATCCACAGGGACAGGTGCCTGAGGGGACAGGTGCCCACGAGACAGGTACAGGCATCCACGGGAACAGAGGCCATGGGGACAGGCACCCACAGGGATAGGCACCCATGGAGGGCAGGGACAGGCATCCACATGGACAGGTGCCTGAGGGGACAGGTGTCCATGGGGACAGGGACAGGCATCCACGGGGACAGGCACCTGTGGGAATGGGCACCCAAGGGGACAGAGGCCATGGGGACAGACACCCAGAGGGATAGGCACCCACAGGGATAGGCACCCATGGGTGCAAGGACAGGCGTCCATAAGGACAGATGCCCATGGAGACAGACACCCGTGGGGACAGGTGCCCACAGGGACAGGCACCCAAGGGGACAG